GGTAAAAGCAAATTTTGACGAATCAGAGTTAAACGTCATTTTAATTATACTTTCGATCGAGCGAAGCAGAAAGTTAAGTAGACAAAGAGTAGTCCGAGTATCTAACGTCTGAAATCTCGCAGTATGCCGGTGCATCGCTGTATACCTGCCACTGCTCGCACATAGTATATATATACCATTCCATGAATTTCTCCTTTATCCGAGCGCGAGACTTTGCCCGAACACGTTCCGGCCCGCCACTCCGTGTTATATAACGATCACGTGTGTATGAACAACGCGGATAATCCTCCGCTGCGCTGCTCGTGCCTTTATAGTTTCTCAACTGCAGCTCGTCTACGAGGGGAGGGTGGTGTATTTATGAACTTCCAAATATTTTAGAAACGCGCCTCTGTAGCAGCAGCTAACTTCGTGCGCGCCCCCGACGAAACTTTGTTCAAACGAAATTTCGCAGACTCTTTCTCTTTATCGCTCGATCCTCTGTCTTGGGCTCGCGAGCGGGCGGGCAGCGGGTAAAAATTACTCGCCATCGTATATGGAGGTAGTAGTCGCACGTTTTCGAGCAACTGGGCGAAATTGAAAATGCAAGCGAGAACGAAGTCGCTGAAAAAGAAGAGAAAGAAATAAACGAGCGAACGAATGAATTTTGATTTCGAACGAGGGTCGATTATCATTGTTCTTGCCTTCTGTTTTCTCTTTCTCCTCCCCTACCGTCAAATTGATATCAAAAAGTTAATGGATCACGTCGTTTATGACAGTCGTTAATGTTTCAATGGCAAATGAGGATGCTGCCACCGTTGTGTACACTTCACTATATACATACGCGAGGAGTTGCGCACAAACTGCATCGGTTCGGGCTCGCATGTATATATGCACGTAAGCTCGCTCGAAACGGAAATGCATATTATATACGATCACGATGTTGCGGCCTGGCAATGACGAGGACGACAACGATGATGATGCATGGTCGTAACTTGTCGGGTAACACAAACACATGTGTACACGTATAATAATAATAATAATAATGCATCCACACATTCACTCACACGTACATACGTATAATTGGGATCACAAAAGCTTGACTCCTTCCTTTCGGGGGGCCCCCGGAACTTTCCCTCAAACATTCGCGCGTGTCTGTGTGTGTGTGTGTGTGCAAGAACGTATAACGGCCGCTTGCTCGCACGTGTGCGCCGCTACATATATATAATACACATATATAATATATGTGCATGACTCCGTGCGTTCTATATGACTTTGATGCATCGCGCCGAGATCATCATCCCCCTCCTTTCTATCTATATATGTGCACGGTGGCTTCGGGCAGTTTAGAAACTATGAGAGTCGATTACATGTACATGCGCGAGAGAGAGAGAGAGAGCCGGTCGTGTGCCTGTAATATCCATGCAGCTCGCCAACTTGTATAATTGCGATGCGACATGTCCCAAAGAGATAACAGTACACGCGGCTGCAGTACGACAAACTCGAGCTCTTGAGCTATATATTCAAATTTTGTCTTCTTCATTGATCGACAGATGAGTCTGGATTCGAGAGCTATTTGTCGAGCCGGTAATTGAAACATTAGTTTTTGAAAATAAACTACGATCGGAAAGTTAGTAGGATACAAACTTACTTACTCATTTTTTATTCGAATTCGTTCATGGGGTGAAGTAACGACGAAAGATTTTTGGTTTTAATTTTTAAAAAATCGTGCTTCATTTATACAATTCTTTTCTCTTTGTCACTTGTGGATTTACCGGTACAGGTACTCGCCATCTAGCGGTTGAGGTTGGCTTCAATTTTCGACAAATATTTCATGTAAAAGTATTTAGAATGAGATTCAATATCAATAACATTCATTTTATTGTTTGATTTTACGTAAAATCTGCAATAAATTTAAGGATCTTTATTTTTTACAGTGATATAAGTAAGTTCAAAAGTTCACGAGGAGTTGAAAAAAAGTAATAAATAAAATAAACAGTTCAAGCCGCTTTGTTCAAGAGCTTTAACGAGTTCGAATGACTTTAACGAGGCTTCGATTCAATGAACTGTAAAGACAATCACAACGAAGAAGAAGCTGCTGCTGCTGCTGCTGCTTCTGTGCGCAGACGAGAGGAGAATCGCGATCCCGGGCGAAACGAAGAATTACTCGCGTCCTCGGAGTGCTCGGGTTTATACAGACAGTACGCGGCTCTGTGTTAATTCTTGCAAATTGCCCGAGTCCCGAAGAGGCCGAGCTGCTGCTGCTGCTGCTGCTGCACCGAACGAGCTTGTTTCAATATCAATGCTCATATAATATTTCGCAAGCCTGGGAGAAATTTACATTTTATGGTCGCTCGGCGCCGAAGCATTAAAAAATATAGATATAATGTATAACTTCGCAGCTCGCTCTATATTATGTTATACTATTAATATGTACGCGTGAGCTCGCAAGCGCTCGTACAGCAGCTCCTATTCCTAAAACTGCATATATTTAATGAGCACGCGCGGCAGAAATTTACATGTTAAATTATTGAATCGGATTTATGCGTGCCCGCGCGACTGCCTCGGCGTTGACGAGAACGTGTGTGACAAATTTTTCGCTCGCTCGAGTTCCGCGAAAAAGTTTCAATTGTTTCGACGGTCGAATCCTCCACGAGTAAAAAATAAAGAAGGACCTGATATTTTTGGAGAGAATTCAGCGTCGTGACGCGAGAGGAGAAAGGAGGGGAGGAAAAAAATTAACGCTTGTCAATGATGCTGCAGGGCTCGAGTAGATGCGCACGAGTCATAAGGGCACATGATCTTTCGCACGCCTTTCAGTTTCTCGAAAGCACTGCAGATAATACAGACGAGAATAGAAATTCGCGTAAATATCGCTTGACGATTCTTTCGGATATATTCGACCTTCATAATCGAGTTAACCGGAACAAGCCACAGGAATCATTACTTTTTAAACTCTGTAGTGTAGTTAAAGTCCAAAAAATGTTTTGCCGCTTGCAAGTTTACAATGCCCCATCTGTTGATGGAATACGAAGCTCACAATCAAATATTTCACCTCATTTTTGCTATGTAGCAATTTTCAGAATCGTTTGTACTGATTTTTGAAATGCAAGGTCATACAAATAAGTAGTGTCATAGGATTATGAAAATAAACATATTAAACTAGGAAAATCCAAATCCTTGAAATTTGTCGAACACGACACTCATCTTTTTTTCAAACAGTTGGATTGTGCAGTTGCACTTTAAGCGCCTGAAGAAGTTTCACTTCGCAAAAAAGACATATTATACTCTATCGAGACCTCCCTCGACCGATGTTTCTTTTGCCTCCTGATATATCGGTGCCTGCACTATGAAACAAAGCTCACCCAGAGCGGCGAATAAGTTCCGCGCAGAGAGAATATATATACAGTATACGCTGCAGCCGCGAGCATACCAAGTCGAGGCATTGTCAGAAGCTCATTCTTCATTCACTTCACGAAAAGCCTCGCACACCCATACGTATACACTTGAGCAATGCGCTCGTCGACGCTGGCGATATACGTACACAAGTAAATCCGTTCGTCGCTTAGAGAGCTCGCGCAGCTACATCACCTGTGAGCCCGGAATCGCCTCGCGCATACGTATGACGATACGCGCCGTCTTTATACGATACCGCGCAGCGACGAAGGTGGAGTCGAAAAATCGTCCTTTGGCGCGAGAGGCTGCAATGGCCGATGTACGCGAGAGAAGATTTCAAATTAAAACAAAATAAATAAAGAGTTGACATTGTAATTGCGATCGCAAGATCGTGGTATGTACCAACGTGTGCGTACGTGCTCGCGTGCACGAGGAAGGGAGTGACGACCGGTTTCCTTCGCTCTCCCTCGTGACACACACGCGCGACGATCCCCACCCATCCTGTATACACACACACATACACCCACACGAGCGCACCACAAAATTTCCATAATATCTCATTGTGCATATCGGAGAGTCGAGACGGGGCTGAAGTAAGAGAGAGAGTATACTATATATTGTAATAAGCATCTTCCATCGAGAGATTTGCTGCAGCTCGAGACGGGCTCGAGAGAGCTCGAGGTCACGGACGCACAAGAGGCTCGCGCGCGACCTTGGCTGCAAAATATAATTTATATAAATATACACGCATTTTTCGATTCGAGCCCACCGACCAATAACGCGTACGCCGCGCGATCAATAACATTGGTTGAGCGAGATTATAAAGGTAAAGACGTGGATAAAAAAGGAGTTTATGCACATGCACCGCATCCCCCTCGGGCAAAGTTGTTGATACGAGCAGCTTCTCTGCGATCTGCGCTTGCTAATTTACAGTCGTACGTACTTCGCGTTTGAATTTTCGTTTGTATTTACCGAGAGATAGAGACGCGGGACCGTATCGCGTTGGACAGCGCGCAAAAAATTTCACCGATTTCAATTAAGATTAGGTGGGGTACAGCGTAGGGACTTTGACGCACGGAAACTATATCGCACACCGGGTCGCCGAAACGATTGGAAATGATATTTCAGCGAGCCGACGCTATCCAGAAATAGAGATAGAGCGCGCAGAGACGCGAGAAAGTTCTCCGGCTCCGATGCGAGGGGGGCGCGCGCAATATATAATGAACATTGGAAAATATTCATCGCCGAGTCATTGTCGCGCGCGCGATTACGCAAAATTCCTCCGAAACGGAGATTAGAGCACTGGTTATGCATCGTGAAAGTGCAGCAGCAGCAGCGCATACATACATTTGGCACGGCCCGAAACCATAATGATCTCGCGGGGCGAAATTTGTTAATTGCGTCTGCGAGCAAAAGCGCGAGCAAAAATTAGCGTAGCGCTGGTAATTGTACCTTTCACTTTTTTTTTTCTTTCTACCCATAAATATTCGAGCTCAAATTGTTTTAATATACTTTTATCTTAATATATACGCGCGCTGACTTGCATACACGATTAAGAATAAAAAAAACACGTTGAAATAAAAAATGTCATCGCTCGATCTCATTGTCGAAATTTTCTCTTGTTGCAGAAGGAAGAAAAATGGCCGTAAGTAGCGCGGCGGCGGCGACCGGCATCGAGGTGCGCGAGTCCGGGCGCGCTCTGAGTTTCCACACGGAAATGCCTCATCTTGTCTCGACCGGAAGTGGAAGGCTGTCTACCACTGTCACGCTTCATCCGCTACCCGAAGGTAATACAATGATCCAATATTCTCTCGTACATATATACGTACGGCGCACATATAAGAGCGCTCGATCGGTCTATATAATGGCACGACACGAACGTCGTCGTCGTCGTCGTCGCATCGACGCATATTATACAGTACACGAACGCGTTACTCATATATATCGTATACGTACGCCAGAGCAGACGTGCACTCATTATACGCCTTGCATTTATGCATATTGGCGTGACGCAAGTAGATAAAAGGCCAATGTTCGTTTATTTTTATTTATTTTTCATTTCATCCCATTTTGTTTTTCTCCTCTCTTATCTTCCTCGTGATTTTTTTTCTGCGGATTCTTCGTCTCGCATAGATTTAACTGCAAATGAAGTCGGCGTTAAACATTTTCATTTTTATTACCTTGTTTTTCTCATTTTTCGATTAGGAAATTAGCATCGAGAAACGAGACGCGTAGCTGCCTGCATCGAAGTTGACTAATTGCAAATGTATAGGCAATTGTTCGCGCGGACGCACAAAAAACTAGAAACTTTTCGAGCTACAAACGCGAAGCCTTATCTGTGCGCGATCTGCATTAATCCGCAAAAAAAAAACAACAACAACGCGATTGTAGATGGAAAAAACAAGAAAACAAAAGAATCAAGGACTCGCGCGACGCGCTCGTATTTTATTTATTCGAATATTACACGCGCGCCGCACGTATCTATACGAAACGGAATCGTACGTTTCCATATGACAATTTAATACCCTTCGTGCCTCGTGCGTGTGCGTATGTCATACATACACGGGTGCGGGACGTGCAAAATGTGAAGCAGCACAAACACGCACACGTGTGCGCGACTGTATGATATGCAGCTACTACCCGTAGACGACGACGACGGCGACGACGACGGAGTAACGCAAAACGCGTATTTACAAGACAACCATAAATTCCGCGCGTACGAGTATTATATACGCACAATATACAGTAGTAGGCGAGGGCCGCCCATACGTATACCCATCGTCGTGTATACGATGGTTTATAATACGACACATATTGCATAGAAGGCAAAAGCAATATGTAAGAATATAAATACATAAATCCGTGTGACGAAGCCTATTCAGTGATACATACACACACGTGTGTGTGCATGTGTACCAGTGCAAGCTCGTAAATGTATAATATTGTATCAGGTAGTATACGTTTTTGTCCTGCGAGTGTAAAATCGATGCGCGCGATTGGAAAATTTGATGCTCCTATACGTATGTACGTAGCTGGCGGTATTACTGTGCAAACACACACACACACACACACCTGACGTCTGCTGCGTACGTATACAAAAGCTGCGAGAGGAGGGAAATCGATCGACGCGCGTATAGAAGCGCACATACCTTCGGCAGTGTGTGTGCGCGTCTCTATACGCGCCGAGGCAAGCTGCAAAGATCGTAATCTACATCGCGTACAGTAGTAGTCCGGTAGCAGCAGCTTGCGATGCACACATACACACGATTTCGCTGTGTAAGTGCTGGGGGATATGTACAGGTATATCGCAACACACGGCACGCAGACAGACAAGATGATACTCTTGGAAAGATATGTAGGTCAGCCGCTAATTATTTGCCTTGATGCGTGTACTGCTGCTGCTGCTGCTGCCAGTGGTGCAGCTATATACAGTATAAGTGACGCGTCGCGTATACGCTCGCACCCCGACGTGCGCACGTATGCACCCGACTACTTGAATATTTATGCGATGTAATATACATTTATTATTATGCAGTGGCAGAAGCTCGTCGATGTTACACTATACGCGACATATATACAATATATAAGAACTCTTAAGCTGCTCGCCTCATTACTTTTATTTAATAAATAATGCCGGGAAGAAGTAAGGGAGAAAAGTAACCGAAACGGGGATGTAAGTAGGGGGCGCGTGAGAGAGACATACGGAGGGACCGAAATAGTAGTAACGGCCATATAGGTATCCCACGCGCACGAATTTTCCCCAACTCGACGAATTATTCACCGCTGCGCGTCACGTTGATGTGTGTGTGTAAAAGCGACGCCGCTGCGTGCGCGCGAGAGCTATACACTCTCGAGCGATTCGGGCCAAGCGCAAATTTCTAAATCGCTCCTCGCGCGCCAAAGCGAGTTTGACGGATAGATGTATATATGTACCTACATCGTGGCACGAGAGCTATATAGGAGGAGGAGAAAAAAAAAGCCAAGCAGTACAAACGACGCGATCCGGCGCTCGGATCGAATTAATTTCTCGCGGCGTATGCTCGGGATCGAGTTTTTGCATGTGCTGCACGCGCGCGGCTGTGCAGCGGCGATCGTCGTCGTCGTCGTGTGCCTCGCATATAATATATATATGGTGGGTCGTGTGCGGCTCGTAGCTCGCGAGTCGCGATCGTGAACTTCCGCGTCTCGCGGAACGTGATCATCGCACGCGAGCCGAGAAAGAGAGAGAGAGAGAGAGAAGAGCCCAGGCCATTATATATCTACTTGACATATGCATATTTATACGTTATAAGACGTATCACGGATGGGCCTAAAGTGAAAACACGACATCGTAACCCATCGATTAGCCATTAAATGCCGGCGGTACGTCTCTCGAGCTTGTACTACACGAGTGCGCACGTATACGTATACACACTTACTTATACGCGGATAAATGTACCGCACGTACCACTGCAAGTACGTGAGCGCACACCGAGTCCACCGGCAAAGTCTACTTCGTGCGTAATATAGTACACGACGTCGACGACGACGACAACACTTGGCGTTTCGAAACCTTGCGGGCCGAAAATATCGTATTATGCACGCGTATGTGTTCGTGTGTGTGTATATTTGTATAAGTGTGTGTGTGCGTGTGTGCCCGTCGTCGTCGAGAAATAGAATAGGACAGTTTTCTCGGGCGCGAGAGGCGTACTCCATATAATAGAGACGGAAAGCTCGGCAGCGCGCCTAGCCTCCGATATATGAGCGAATCCACATAATTTACCGAGCAGATTTTCGACTGAAAAGGGGGTTTGATTTTTTTGCGATAACTCAGAGACAAATTCGATGATTTTTTTTTGTGGGGACGCAAAAATCCGATAGTATCGGATAGCTACGTACTTTCTTTTCCATTATCAACATTTTTAGAATTATACAGCATTATTCATGTATAAAATGTCAAAACATAAACAAATAGACATGTGCCCTAATAGTAATCAATACACACACATACACAAACTTGGCATCGTCTGTGGAAAATGTTTATAGCGGAACGAATGAAACGAATTAGTGTGAATGTTGTCTTTACCAAAGATACAAGGCATAATACCAAAAGATAACTTTACTTATTAATTTCCTGTGGCTCTAAATAGTAGAATCAATCGTTTGATTTAGGCGAGAAAATGAATAATAGTGATAAGTCCGATCCAGTTATCTTGCAAGATAACCTAAGTGAACACAACTTAAGGGTTTCGAGTAGTAAAACACACGTTTGTGATATTTGTCAGAAAGATTTTACGCGTAAATCAAACTTGCTAAGACATCAAAACACAATACACAATAAAAAAAAAGATTACGAGTACAACGCTTGCGAGCAGAAATTCGGACGCGAACATTATTTGCCTTTACACCAAAAGACAGTTGACGAACGTCACAAAGATTTCGCATGCGACAAGTGTGAGAAAAAATATGGACGTAAACATCATTTGCTGGAGCACAAAAAAATAGTACACGAAGGTCAGAAAAATTACGCTTGTGACAAGTGCGAGAAGGAATTTGGTCTAAAATCAACCTTACTTAGGCACCAAAGAATAGTTCACGAAGGTCGTAAGGATTACGCATGCGACAATTGCAAGCAGAAATTTGGACAAAAATCCCATTTGCTCATTCACCAAAAAACTGTTCACGAAGATCGCAGAGATTACCCATGCAAAAACTGTGAGAAGAAATTTGGACATAAATATCATTTGCTGGAGCACAACAAAAAAGTACACGAAGGTCAGAAAGATTACGCTTGCGACAAGTGCAAGTTGAAATTTGGTCGAAAAATCAGCTTACTTAGGCACCAAAGATTAGTTCACGAAGGTTGTAAGGATTACGCATGCGACAAATGCGAGAAGAAATTTGGTCAAAAAATTGGCTTACTTAGGCACCAAAGAACAGTTCACGATGGTCAGAAAAATTACGCTTGCGATAAGTGCGAGAAAAAATTTGGACAAAAACCGACTTTGCTCATCCATTTAAAAACAGTTCACGAGGGTCGCAAAGATTTCGCATGCGATAAGTGCAAGAAAAAATTTGGACATAAACAGCATATGCTCTCACACCAAAGGACAGTACACGAAAAGTTCAACGATTACGCTCGCAAAAATTGCGAGCAGACATTTGGAGAAAAATCGACATTGATTCGACATCAAAAGGTAGTACACGACAGTAGAAAAGATTACGCAAGTGACAAAAATGTTACTCTGTCAAGATTGAGTATATTCCATGAAACAAGCGAGAAAGTTCTCAGTAACAATCTATCGAACATGTGTAATGAGTGGTACACCCAAGTGCCTAATTTCATTCATCTTCCAAAAAATATTTTTGCAGATGAAGACCTATGAAAATGAAGTGTGTGATATATGATGATGATTAAATATGCGATGATAAAATGTTTGCATTCGAGCGCAATTTGATCAATCACGCACTAAACTTTCTCAAGAATGCAAAGTCTTTAATTATGACATGTGCAATAGATGTACAAAAAAAGAATCAGTTTGACCAATTATAAGCGAGTCAGTATAAGTCTCAAACTTACCATTTTAATTGCTTGATTAATTAAAAAAATAAATTACAATTACCACAAATTTGTTATGATTTTTTAAAAATATTTTTTATACTTACCAATTTCAAGTAAACATTAATATCATATAATTACCCATTAACTTTCAAATGAAAGTGTTAAGATTTTTTTTCCTAAAGTTTTATGTAAACTTTTTAAATCGAAACGTAATTATGAACATTTTCAAATAAGTCACGTTATGTACTGTTGAACGTATTAACTTTTATTTTCTTAAACTAATAATTGAAGAAAATATCAAGTGCTTTTTATGTATGAAATAAAAAAACAACAACAAACTGAAAAAAATCATTATTTTTGATATGCGGTACCATTTTAATATTATTTATGCTTGTGCACAAGTAGAGGAGATAGTAAGGACAGTAATTACCAAGCCACGTCGAACACTCAAACATCAAAAAATTCATTTTTCGCTAAAAACGTGATTAAAAAAAAAAAAGAATCATAACAAAAATATACCTATTAAAATGTTGATTATGGATACATTTTTAAAGCTTGCTAGGACCTCCAAGAACAATAACTAATGTTAACGATTAGCGTTTAATGAAAAAAAAAATCAGACCCTTTTGCAGGCAAAAATTTGGCAGGTTAATTGTGGAATTGTTCATATATACAACTGCTGCCGCTGCCGTTGCTTCGGAAATAATTACCCAGAGCTCTGCAAGTATATATGTTAAAGCACGTCGAGCTCGCACGCGTCAGTGTACAGAAAATAAAAGTGACCAGATCTCTGTTTCATTTTCTTGAAATAAAAAAGAAGCAGAAAAATATTCTTAGCGTTCATTTGAACAACATATAGGTACAATATTATGTGACCGAAAGACGAGTAGAATACAGTACAGTAGAGTTACGAGGTGGCCGACTTTTTCTTCATTTTTATTTTTCTACCGAGATTTTCACTGAGGTTTTCATCGTACATAAATATGTATAATAATAAACGACGGTCAACGTGTTCGTGTTTGTATTTGCCAGCGCAGATCGGCTTAAATAATGTTGTTGACGCGTCGATGATCATAATCATCACGAATATTACACACCAGCCGCGACGATGAAGGAAAAAGGGAATCGTTCCGTCTCGCGTCTACTTAAGTGTCAGCATGCGTATCAAGAGAAAGAGAGAACGTTGTGGGGGAGGAGTGACGGCAGACCTGCAGGCGTTTATATATTAGAGAACCAACCGGAGATAGCTCGTATAAGCACTTTTTGATGGAAGATAATGCGAGCTAATTTGTATGTAATCCAACCACACACACACACACACGCACACATATATGAGACTCGAGCGTGCGAGCTTTCCCACTGGCGAAACTCGAGTACAACGTGTCGCCCGCCCTCATAGCTCTCTCGCTCACTGGTTGATTTTCGCGCGCTCTTGATACATCAAGCAAGATAAGATAAGAGAGACGCGCGTTGGATCGGTGGTTCAGCGTAATTAAAAACGTGTCCTTTGATTCACGTATCAATCCGCGTGTTTACACGAAGATTATCTGCGACGAAATTCTCTCGGGTGAAGCGTAAATGCACCGTGCCCGCAGATGCGCGTCATCGATCGAGACCGTGTACATCGTATCGGACGTTCGCATACGCAAATACGAGCCCCGAGCTTGCGAACGAAAATGCAAAACTTCAAAAGCTCGCTGGCAGAAAAACGACGTGCGTGGCGTGAAAGCTCGCGCGGTACGCTCCGATTTGCCTTACGCGAGAAAACAAACGTAAGTTACGAGGGCGATCGCGACCTACATTACGCATATGTGCAAGTTCAAGCTTGTCCGAGCTCTTTCGGTCGTTGTAATGCGTGGTTAACCGAGTCTGCTCTCGGTACCTTTCGAAAAAAATGATATATTTGGACTCGAAGCGAGATTAAAGAACAAAAAAAAAACGCAAACGAAACGTCGCGATGCTCGGGAACAGAGACAAAAAAGTTCGAGAGCTCGTTCGTGAAGATGATTTGTATCAATCGTCGACAGCGAGTGACACCCGTCGCGCACATACATAAAGAAGCGTAAAAAGTACAAAATGTATTATCATTGCCATCGTCGTCGTTATTATTATCATTATGAGACGAGAAATGTCATTCCAGTAAACACGAGCTAACAACGGTAATGCGAAATGCGAGGCGGACGAGGAGGAAGAGGCAGCGAGCGAGAGAGGAAAATAACGAAAAATAATGAAGAATGCCGAGTATGAATACCGCAGGAAACGCGCGAGTATCAAGCGCGTATAGCGACCGCGTTCGTTTCTTCTCGTTCCGTGTGTTTTTTTTTTGTGTCCCGAACCCTCGGAACTCCGATGCATTTGTTTTCCTCTCGCTTTTATAATTCATGCGGCCTGGCCTGGCACGGCAAGCGCGAGAAATCGAACGCAAACAAATGTTGCGAGCGAGCGGCGCTCTATATATATGTACGTACTTGAGAAAGAAAAAAGAGTTATTTATTCGCGCGACGATTGCTCGATTCGAACTTATGATTGCGAGCCGAGGAATATTGTATTTTTTTTTCTTCACCGAGAGAAGATGTACTTTTCATCTCTCGAAATTATGTATTTCATGCAATCGAGTGCGCACTCGATATAATATATAACACGTCTCACTCATTTTTTTCCTCTTTTTTTTGTTTTTGTCGTCGCGCAGGACGCACACTCGTCGGCCAGGCGCGAGGCAGCGACCTACAAATCAGCGGCCAAGGCATCGATCCGAGCCACTGCGTGATCGAGAACGTCGCCGGCAGCGTGACCCTTCATCCGCTCAAAGGCAGCACTTGCGTCGACGGCCGAGCCATCCACGATGCGCACAGACTCAAACAAGGTATATATATTCGGATATAAAGACTACGACGAAAAAACGAATAAAAGAAAAAGATCGCGGTTCTTCTTTTTGTTCGATAATAATGCAACGAATCGCGACGTTTTAACGATCGCGAGACTCGATCGCGCGCCGGAAGTAGTATAGCAGTGTAGTATACACACGGGGGAGGGAAGGATTAACGACTTGCACGATGCGCATAAGCAGTGTCTCCGCTGCAGATGCGACGCGCATCTTTATTTACACGGTCTTATATATTCATACACGAGCGCTGCATTAAACCTCCGAGCTTACGCACTTATTTTTTTTTTTTTTACTACAGGCAGCGTACTGACGCTCGGCAGATCGACCCAATTTCGCTTCAACAATCCAGTCGAGGCGCAGCACTTGAAGTGTCAGCAGCAGCAGCAAGCGAAGGGCAAACCACCCGTGGCACCGCGTAAATCTCCGCGCAGCTCGAGCGCCTCCTGCTCGTCCGACACGGACGAGCCCGTCAATTTTCTCGGCAAGCTCAGCAAGTTCGAGATGCTGGCCCGACAGACCCGTCAGCAGGTCAACAACGTCGTCTCGCCCAAGGTCTTTCCCCCGGGCAGTCTGACGACCAGTGTGCCGGCGGACCAGATACTGCCTACGTCGGTACAACAGCAGCAGCAGCAGCAGCAGCAGCAACAGTATCAGCCTTATTATCATAATAATCACGCGAAATCGGCGAGTTTTTCCACGATGGGTAGGAGCAGTCCACTGCAGAATGTCACGAATTTCGAGAGATGTCGCAACGAAGACGACGCGAGACAGGTAAACATTTTTTTAACGTCCCTGGTAGAAATGCTCAACATTTATTATGCCCTATAAATGACTGAAATACTACTGTATAAAATGCTTTAAGATACAATTGGTATCAATTGGCTTGTTTAAATATTATGAAGCGTGCTTTAACAACGAAAAAAACCATTTAATTAAAAAAATTTAGACCGGTATTAAGTACGACAGTACTAATTCAATTTTCCACCGCCAGATGGCAAGTACCTTTATTTCTGTAAATCTGAAAGTGTCAAAGTAGATATAGTTGTATAAGTGAAGCACCAAAATCGTGACTATTATGATGTTCTGTCAATTTTAACGAAACAGTCAAAAAGTAGACGTCGAACGGTAACAGAGAAAAGTAAATATGTGGAGCATAAAATAGCCTGGAAATGTTGGAAAAAATCTTAAACTTTTTGTCTGTCCATGTTCAGTTCTCATGGCCCTTCCAAGCTCAAAAAATTTTTCATTGACTAAAAATTATAAAATGTTGAGCGTTTATACCAAGAAGGGTTATAATCCTTCAACCCGCGGTGAGAAGATTATCAAAAAGTATCAGATAATATAGTACAGTAAGATCTACGAGAGCTCGTACCTTGTGCAATGAGCTCGTGCACAATTAAAAACGTTTACTCACTCGCTCTCTCTTGTACTCGCATTTTCAGTGCAAACTAACGAACCAATACAATACGAATCACAACAACTCGATATACCAGAACGTCGACGACAGCAACGCGGATCTCATGACTCGGAGCTTGGGTCGCCGATGGCAGGAGCAAATCCAACCGTATCGACCCCAGCAGCAACAGCAACAATACAACAATCATCATCATCATAATCATCATCATCAAAATCATCACCAACGGCGCGCGGCTTCCAGCCAGGAGCTGGAATCGACTTACAACGACGAGAATCACAACGGCAACGGCTACGAGAACGTCGACAACGGTTACGAGAACGGCTACGAGAACGTCTTCACGGGCGGCGGCGGCATGTCCACGGACGACATCATGAGCCGCAGCTTTCACTGTCAAAGGGACGAGGATCTGAATCAGTTCAGTCGGGACTTCGACATGAGTCAGAGCTTGATCGTCGCCAAGACCACGACGCACACGGAATTTCTCAAGTTGGAGCAGTACGGCAGCAATAACGGCTCGAGGTATAATTTACAGTCGCAGCAGCAGCAGCAGCAGCAACCACAGGGTCAGGTGGTTGTGGGTCATCGTAGGGCTGGATCGTGCGATTCTTACAACAATTCTGCACAGTGAGTACTTTGAAGAAATCAATAAACCTCGGCAGAACTGATTCGAAAATTGGCCCTCGACTTCTTTTTCTTACAGAAATATCGGAATACCTCGTCAAAAGTCACCGAAACAGCCATCGCCCGCCTACAATCGCGAGGTCCGCGTGCCCAAACAACAGTCGAAGCATCAGCAGCAGCAGCAGCATCACTATCAGAACTTCTTCACGCTGCCTTCGAACAAACCGAGCGAGCCCCTGTACGGCCGCATAATGCGCCCGCTGAGCCCGGAAAGCGAGCGAGACGCCCAGGAGCGCATGCGACGCGCCTACGAGCAGAGGATGCGCGAGCACGGCGAGAAGGTGAGGCGCGAGAAGGCCCACCTCGAGGAGATGCTGGCCACCTGCACGGATTACGAGCGACAGACGAGCAGTAACGGTAGCAGCAACGGCAGCAATGGCAAACACGTTGAGCAGCAGCAGCAGCAGCCGAGACGCAAACACGAAGAGGAGACGATTTTGTAAGAGCGACGAATTACGAATGCACTTTGACATATACGCCTATATGTGACCATCGTCGTCATTACGTCAACCCCCGCGTGGATTACGCGTTATATTATTCTCCGATTTGGAGCGAGAGTAACGAGCGTAAACTTTTGGTCGCGCTTAGCTATTATTGACCTTATACGCACACGCATTGTATATGGCCGCGTTTGTAACTCAGCTGCGAGCGATCGTAATGTACGTACACGGAGACAATGGGCACAATTATCTCCCGCGTGTCTTATCTTTGCATCGACTGCATCCAGCTGCAGCGGCGGAGCGATGATCCCATTATTATTGTTATTATAATTCTTTTTTTCTTCGTACGTGTGTATATATTTGTAACGTGAATTATATATAATATATACTCGCCCCAAGGCTTTTGTTCCAAATGCGGTCAAATAAAGCCTAGAGTAAAGCCTATGTATGTGTATTATTAACTCGCTCTAAAGTTTGCGTTTTGTCTCGTCATCGTGGCTTTAAAGCGCGTAATTTTTTATTTTCTCTCTCTCTCTTTCTGTGGTTGCGCGACTAGACCGCTAATAATACACACGCAGAAAGAGAGATTTTCCGCGCGACCCGCGCATAGTACAGCAACGATCAATCCGCATTCGCGCATGAATTTATCATCGTCCTTTTTTTATTTCGTTCTTTGCTATCGTATATTCCTCTACATTTTTTTCATTTTTCATTCTTTCCTCTTTGCCACAGGCTCTCGGCGGTGGGATACCAATCGCCGCACCTACCGTACAAAAAGCCCACGGTCGGCTGTCGCAACGGTCCTAGATACAGCGGTCGACCGAAGACACCTCCACCGAGCGAAGAGGAACAGCACCACCAGCACCACCATCAACCACCGCTGCCACCGCCACCGCCACCATTACCAGCGACACCGGAAAGCAGCGACAACTGCGACGATAATAAGTTGTTGGCAGCGACGCCGAACAATAATCGAGCACCTCAATGGCCCGAACAAGAGAACGGCTACGCCGTGGTGATGAAGCCCAGCAAACAGCAGAACAAAGTGGCCGCGTGCTATCCCGCAGATAGCGACAACTACAATCACTTGAATGACGTATCGCCGTCGTCGTCGCAGAAGTTTGCTCCGACGACGAATGAAACGACGACGCACGAGAGAATCATGTATGCCGAGCCTCAGATACCGCAGCAGCAGCAGTCGCAGAAAAAGCAAGAGCGCAACGGTAAGCTTGTATAGATATATGCTATTGTCAATTTATCGATCGAGTATCCAAAGTTTTCAAAATATAACGATCGCGACGATTCGTTCGCAGAAGTAGCAGCTGCTCCGCCTCTTCCGGAAAAAACGATCAAGCTCACCTACCACAACTACGAGAACTTCATGCCCGTGATCAACGGCAACCTGAGCATCTACGAGAACATCGGAGCGTCGCAGCACAGCGTCAACGGCGACGCTACCACAGCTGGTAATAATAACGTCAACAACAACATCAACGAAGCGGTCCAAAGCTCGCAACAACAACTCGTTAGCAACAATAACGGCGGCAAAAGGAGCTTACCGAGGCCACCGAAGAAGCCGGCCAGAACGGCGCCCGAGCGTCACAATAATCTGCTCGAGAGTACGAAGCTCGACGTGTCGAACGACGATCTGCTCGAGGCCATTGAGCAGCTTTCGCAATTGTCCAAGCCGAGAAATTCGTCGGGTTCGACGACGACGCCGATAGCCGACCACTACCAGACGCCGGTAAAGCGGCTTAACGGTGATAATTCCAAGAGGCTGAACGACGAGTACGGCGATCGAGCGGACAACAACAAGGACGACGGCAAAGCCGATGAGTCGGAGAAAGAGCAGCAGCGCGCACAGCTCGAGGATCAGGATCGCGGCAAGTACATGGACTTTCTCGAGAACGAGAAGCAGCACATACTCGCCAACATGGACTCGTTCAAGCGCAGCGTCGCCGAGATCGAGACCCAAGAGGAAGAGATCAGTCGCGAGGTAAGTTCGACTGCGCTATGAACAAATTTTTTTTTTTTTAATTGCAAATGCTAATTATACTTTTTTTCACTCGCACGCAGTTGGAGCTGGAGAAAGCCCTTCTGTCGGCCGAGCACGAGTCCGAGAGCCTGAAGCTTGAGCAGGACGAGGCCGAGCTGAATCGCGTGCAGGAGAAGCTGCGCGAGCTCGAGGCCGAGATGGCCGAGGACAAGGCCGGCCAGACGCAGATCCAGGCGGAGGCGCGTCAGCGCGTGCTGGTGGCCCAGCAGGCCTGCGCCAGCCTCGAGGAGCAACTCGCCGAGGCCGAGGGCAGGGACGACGAGCGCGACAGCGACCTGGCCAATCGACTGGCCGCCCAGACCGACCAGCTCGAGACCGAGCGCAAGGCCTTCGAGGACCTCGAGTTCCATCATCTCGAGGAGGAGGCCAGCAAGCTCGCCAATCGCGAGGAGCTGCAGCGCTACGCCGAGGAGCTGAGGGCCAAGGTGGACGCGAGGAGGCTGCAGCTGGAGCAGCTCGAGAGCCAGCGCAGCGACATCAAGACGACCGTGCTGAAGGAGGCCAAGAGCTTGGAGAGGCAGAAGCTCGCGCATCTACGCAGATTAGAGGAGGTAATAATTTTAATGGCGATTTACGAGCTCTCTCCGGAGAGAGAGGCTCGGCGTCCTTTTTTTCTCTCCCTCTTTTATTCATCCCATCGTAAATCCGATACGCAGGGAGAGTATTGGAAAACCCATTCGGCCTCGAGTGTTCGTAAATATTTAACGTGTGTGCGCATGTGTGTGTGTTTTTTTTTGCCCGTTCACAGGGTCGCAATCGATTACGCACCATCGACGACGAGCTGGAGAGCCTGGTAAAAAACGTCAACGACAATCTCGTGGCCGAGAAGCGCTCGCCGAGCCGCGAGGATTTCGACAGAATATCGAGGGTCACGAGCGAGTCGCCGATCGTCAATAATAACGAGGGCAGCGGCTTGGCCAGAAAAACCATCGAGTCCTTGAAAGAAATCGAACGAAATAGGCAGCTGCACTTAGCGAAACAAGGTACGAAGTCAATGATGATGATGATGATAAACTGGAATATGAAAAAATTGTTTCTCTTTTTTGTACCTCGCGCAGGTAGTCAAGTTATATCGGAAGAGAGACGACGAGTCGAGGAGCTGAAGCGACGGGTCCAGGAAGAGGTGCGCAGCCAGTGGGAGGAGAGAAAGATGAACTGCACGTCGCTGAACAGCGTCGAGTCGGGCGAGGAATCCTCCAGTTATTCGACCGGTCCAACCGAGAGGTAATGATATGTCACGCTCTGTACGCATCGTGAGTGATGTAGAGAGAGAAAGAGAGAGAGAAAAAAAAACAAGAACGCACTACGTCGCTCTCATCCTTAACTGGGAGATTTATTAATTCCTTCCGGCATCGTCGAGTCTTCGCTCGTACCGTGCGCAGGCTACGCATCTAGTCAATCCAGTGGGTCATCGACTGCGGCTGCGAATACGACGAAATTGAAAGCAGCGTTTCTTTTATATGCACAGTGTACACAAGAGAGACACGAATAAACGTAACGAGAAAGTCGCGTTTTGACGAAATTGAAGTAACTCGATCGCCCACGCACGAGCAGTGGTAGTGTCCTCTCGAGGAATTACGCCATGGTTTCTCTCTCTCTCTCTCGATGTGTGTGCGCGCGCGAATAAACACGCGTGCGTGACAGATACAGAAAGTAAAAGGCTGATTGGATCGAGTTAGAAAAAGAGAGAGAGAGATAGACACAGAGAGTGGGGGAATATACGCACGCACACACATGTTTAACATGTAGACAGGTTTTTCTTGCGGCTGGTCACGAGGACGTCGTTGTCGTCGTACCTATATACCAGTCGTGTTCGGAGCTCACGGGCTGTATATACACATCATGGATAAACGCGAGCGGCAATAGTAGTATAGTTGTGTAGTGCGAGGTCCGATAAGTTTCTATGGGAGTGTCGCAACTGACTACACGTACATATATACGCAATATACATATATACCTATCGCGACGCAACCGATAAGATTACGAAGGAAGCGGCGTGTGCGGCACTCATTATATGTATACGCATACAGCAGTGCTGTACAGTCAACGCACATGTGTGCATGCGTTGCCGTACAATAATATATACCTATATAGATACACATCGTTGTATCCAGAGAGGCACAACCTACGCGAGTGGTGCAGTGCTGCAAGCACGGGGATCTCGGGCGCGGTGCAGTCGAGCGTGACACGGGCACGCACACACGAGCGAGCATCGGCACGTATATAATAATATAGAGGTAGTCGTGTGCGAATCGTGCGACGCTGCTGCAGTTTTTTGTTCTTTATTTTCGGAGAGAGAGAAGTGAATTATAATCAGTGTACAGTTTTCGTTGGAATAATTGAGTACCTTCCAGTGCCCGAGTATATGTATACAGCAAGAGCGAGTAGTGCGAAAAGTGCGCGAAACTTTGTATTGGCGCGCGCGCGCGCGAGTTGCAGGGACGAGTATATAGAGTAAAAAAGAACTTCAAAGAAAATGTGTGTACATCAACTTTGCGAGTTTCGTTGCCGCTGCCTCGTTGTTGTTCTTACTCTTCTTCTTTTTTTTTGTATCAAACGCGTGTACACGGTATGAGAAAGTTCGAGAGTAAGTGAGGAAGAGAGAGAGAGAGGGACACAGAGAGTAACAACGAAATTTCGGAAAGTTTGCCGAAAGCGCGAATAAACAAACCAACGTAATAGTAGCATAGTTCTTTTTTTTTGCTTGGGTATACATAACTCGTGGATGTTTTTCTAGAGGTGATCGAGCGACTCGTATTTATGTAAAAATTCACCGATCCGATCGATGACAGCGTTTGCGATTGTATTGAAAAATTTTCGTTTGACACGATCGGCACGGGATGCAACGATACTCGCGAATTCCAACGCGCCCATTTACGCGAGTACTTGTATATCGTTCAACGTGTATAAAAGTAATTCAATCGAGCTTAATAACGCAAAAAAAATTTCACTTTGCGTAAAAACAGACAAAGTCGACGCGTCTCTCGACTTACTTATATTCCTCGAGTGACTCACGTGTATTACATTCCGATTTGCCTGTACAACGATACATGTACGCGGTAGCTGCTGCAGCACAATGAAGATGTATGCGCAAGCGAATCCACTGCAACATAAGCGTGCTATACAGCACGTCGCGCTCGCGTATCGAATCGTTTTACCGAATCGAGAAACGCTCGCGGAAAAAGCTTTGAAAACATCCGACGCGCGAGGACGGAGCTTTAAACGTTGCGAGAGAGAGGAAGAAAAAATCTAGCACCTTTTCCATCTTTATTTTAATTTTCTCTTTTTTTTTGCTCAAATTCGAGCAAATACCAGATTGCACACATGTCTCTCTTTTTTTTTTTTACGGTTTTACGCGGGTGAAAATTCAAGAGAGGTTTTTTTCCTGCGCAAACAGACACGCGAAAATCGTGAAAAACTTTTTCCAAAGGTGCAAGGTTGTACAACTATGCGCGCACGTTTTATTTGCCGGTTTTCCGCGAGTTATTCCCGCGTGCTCGAAATTCATTTGGGCTTTTGCCCTCGTGCACGCGCGAGTACGTAGTTTTTTTTCCTCGTCGACTCGTCTTTTTTTCTCTCTCGTTATAAGCTGGCGGGGGAGAGTCGCTCGATAATCCAACGAAGACTGTACAATGTAGATCGTAATCATTTCTCAAAAAATGTAGAAGAATCACTCGACTCTAAACGATTGATATTCTATTTTCCCCTTCTTCGACATGTAGGCACGCGCGCGTGTGTCGTATACAATATACAGGACAGATAAAGATCAATATAGAGTAGACTCCTATATCAGTGACAGTCCGGACGACGCTGAAAAATAATCACCGGAACTCGGCGTACACGTAAGGATATATAATCCTCGATACGGGAAAATAAAAAGGAAGGAAGGAAAATATGAGCGGTTTACGGGCGAATTGCTGCGGTCTGATAACCCTTATCACGAGCAGTAAATGCTACGTGTCCATGAAGGACTGTCTGTGTTGTTGTTGTTGCTGTTGCGGTAGAAAGCGCAGCAGGCGAAAGAAGTAAGTTTTTGGAGCGACACGTGAAGAAAAAGTCAAAAAATCATCCACACATTTCATTGTCCCCCATCGATTCGTATGATTAATTAATTTTTTCCCCTTTTTTCTGTATTTTCTCAGTGGCAGTGGCAGCAGCGACGGCGCCGACACGGGGGCCACGGAAAAATTATCGCCCGGCAGCAAACTTTCCGAGTTCACCTCGTCAGCCAGTCCCGGATCTTCCGGCGACTCTTACACGCTGCTGCAGACCGACCGAGTAAGCGCCAACTTTTTCGTTTGTATATATATATAACGCGTGAAAGAGCTTTACTCTGTTTACTTTCCTCATTTTCCGGGCCAGTGAAATTAACAATGGGTTGAGATAGAGAGAGTTTGCGATGATAAATCGAGCTTTATTTACGTTTTTTTTTTTTTTTTTGCACAGTCGAGAGAGGAGCGAGCCGCGTTCACCGAGCAGGAGACCTACGACGGAAACAGCAGCAGTATCATCGACGAGGGCGGAAATCGACCGCTGTCGCAGACCTCCAGCGAGATGGACTCGCTGGGCAACGTTCACATCAAGCTGCGAGATAACAAGACCAAGTCACAGGTACTTATACTTACTTCTTTGAGAAAATACAATCGAAAGTCGTCGTTTTTTTGTCTACTATTCGATTTCTTATCGTCGTGCTATTTTTTTTCATCTCCGCAGCGACCGTTGACGAGATACCTGCCGATAAAGTCCGAGAGCCTGGATCTGCGGCATCACATCGAGACGGCGGGCCACCCGCTGCCGCTCATACACGACATCGGCGTGGACGAGACGAGCTGCAGCGGCTACCTGTCCAAGATGAGCAAGCGATTTCATCACTGGAACAAGAGATGGTTCGTTTTCGATCGGAAACGAAAGACTCTCTCTTATTACAGCGACAATCATTCGAGAAAGCCGCGCGGCGTTATCTATTTTCAGGTATGTCGCGTGTCCTATATTACATTATTAATTTTGAGAGAAAATCGTAATAAGCGATGATTGACGTAATTGTGTGCATTCGTTGTTTTTTGCAGTCGATCGAGGAGGTGTACATCGATCACATGAACACGGTGAAATCGCCGCACGCGGAACTGACGTTCGTCGTGAAGAGCTCGTCGAGGGTCTATCACCTGATGGCACCCAGCTCGGAAGCCATGAGAGTCTGGGTCGATGTCATCTTCACCGGGGCCGAGGGCTATCACGAATTCGATCCCAATTCATGAGAGACACCTCGAGAGCCTTCTGCTCACAATTTGTAAATAATAAAATTTCAAATTCATCGTAAGCCCGTCGTTATCGAGCGAGGAAAAAGAAGAGAAGAGTGTTTGAAATTATCGAATGGCCATCGCAAAGGGATGGCTTTCGACTCGCTGTTTTTCGTATCTCCATGTATCGTAATCATGTAAAAGCAAGCAACCATTTGCTTATTATTCATTTTACAAAAGTTAACTTTTGTAAAAGCAGGTGCCAATTAAACGTATTTTTCTAATTCTAAGGGGCATTAAATCGTTCAAGTTTATCGAATTTGGGAATGTATCTCAAAGAGTGCATAGTTTTACATAGATGTCAATCTAGTCTTCCAACACAATATAATTGTAACGATTGCCAAACAAATTTGTTGAGACGTTGTGTAGAGCATCGCTTGCTGAATCATTGAAAGACCCATTGTATATATGAGAATAATTTGATTTTGTTTTTATTTTAATAACGCAAGACCCAAAGCTCTCAAGCTTCGAGACGTGAAAGTATGAAACTGAGACTGACGCTGTGGTTAATATTGCAAAAATTATGAAATTATGTCTGTGGAAAAGTGGGTGCATAAGTGCCAGAAAACACACCAAAGTGCATTTACTTGTAGGTAGACATTTCGTTGTTACCTCATAAAAATATGTACAATCATGAATTGAAACGCAAATCAAAATAATGTAATTTTAAAATACAGCTAAACTGCTCGCTTGCAGCCGCTGCAATATTGTACTACTTATCGAAATATTATTATAAAAGACTATCTTGCCTCTTTCGCTTAAGAAAAAGGATCAGAGAAACTAAAATATTGAATTAATAATTGTTAAACGAACTTATAACGTTTTTATAAGTTTTACATACGTATTATCCTATCTGGTTTAGATTGAACCAAGACAGCATTTTTCGAATAAATCTTGTATTTGCATTTAATATACGTCAATGTATAATTTAATTAAATTCCTTCCCACATAATCATTTTGTTGAATTGAGTATGATGTCATGTTCGGTACTTACTCACGGCCGTAACACGGTGAATGCTTCATCAGGTACGGCGACGCACGAATCTTGATTTTGCCTCGTTCCTTGATTTTGCTACCGAATTTGATTCCGAAGCAACTTGAGAAAGTTGAGAATTTAAAAAGGGGTGGCATTGTTGCTTCTTACGTTAACAATTTAAAGATAACTTAATCAATCACGACACACAAAACACAGGTAAAAAAAAATTTTAAACTGCCGTTGCACAAATCGTTCGATTAACTCACGAATTAATTTTCGATTGCTTCAATCACTCCACGCACAAAAGTAGTAAATAACTACTGTTGCACTTGATAAGATTAACTATAAGTGAATTGAATCGATCGCCACACACAGAACGCAAGTAAAAAATAGTTCTAAATCAAAATTGCCGTTACACAAATCTTTCAATGCACTTGCGAATTAATTTTCGGTTGCTTCGATCACTTAACGCACAGAAATAATGAATAACTATTTTTTAAACTCTATAAGAACAAAAAACTATTTCAACTTTGTTAACCCTCGATTGAAAAATCAACGAACTCTATCGACGACTCGTGATGCTTGAAATGATCGGCACTCGTTTCGCGACATTCAACAGTTGCGACGCGGCCTGCAGGCAGTTGGGGTTGCGAGTCGACCTTCGATCGTCCTTTCGCCGAATAAACGCGGATTTGATTGACGCGTTCGTAAGTAACTGTTGATATTTACAAAAAAGTAAGAAAAACGGGAACGAACGGGTGACGGGTAGTCTTCGTGTGTTTTGAAAAAACGCGAGTAAATGTATCGATTATCTTCATAATACGAGTTCAGTGGTGTTAACGGAAAATCAGATTTTTTGAATTTTTTCGAATTCGACGGTTGATTCGACGATTGTTAAAAACTAACCAAAATCAACAATTACGAGTATTAACGACTAACGAATCATTAGAAATTAGTTTCAAATTGAAAAAATCGTTACAATTAACACCGAAATCATTTATATTATTCAAATACTTCGTTCTACTAGTGGTGAGTTGAATTTAAGTTTACATTCCGTATCATCATTATGAACTGATTATTGCATTCCGATTGAATTATTTTCGTTGGTTCAAAACTTGAAACTCATTAACTATATTTTCAAAGCATAATTCGTTATAAATTGTTTTAAAAAACTTATAAAATGGGTAAAATATGAGTAAAACTGAAGAACAAAGCTCGATGAAAGCCAGATTGGAACTAAATAGTACTAGTATACCGTAATTGTATCTAAATCAGTTATATTTATTGATTTTGGTAATTAAGATGTATTACAACTTCACTGATCAAAAAAGAATTTATTGTTCATTGTTTCAAAAAAAAATTATTAAAAATATAAAAAATATATAACACTAAAGAGTACAGCTTTATTATAAGATTTAATCTAAATTGGAACCGAATGATACTGGTGTGGCGTCAAGAGTATCTAAATCAACTAAAACAACTGTTTTGGTATGGGCAAACTTTGGTATGCAAACCAGACGTACTCTCTGTCCATCTTTACCTGAAATTTAATACCAAAAAATGAGTGATTTTCAAATTTTCAAATATTAACTTCAAAGTCCCACAAACCTTTGTATAATTTTGTTTCAAATTTGTCCATGTTGCCCACAAAATAAATGTGAGGACATTCCTTCAAAATGAATGGATCATTTTTATAGAATGGCATACATGGTATTGTATCAGGCGCTGTGGGACACATATGTCTCCATTCTAATGTTTTTTCCAACCATTCCAGAGGTTGTTTGGTATCAAGACCACATACTTTAATAATGTCTTGGATAGGTTGACCACTTGTGCCAACAATTACCTTATCAGCTACTTTTCCTATCCAAGGATTTGATACACCTTTAATACTTTTATATCTAAAATCAAAATTACCAAGTTTTTAAAAATTCAATTGAAACATTATTTACATTAGCATAAATTGAAATGTAAAAACCTTCTGGCTCTTGGAAATGATCCAGGGTGCATTGATTTTTGAGGCATCATAAGAGTTGTGACATCAAACTGACCAGGCATAAGAGTGACGCAACAGTTACTTCCCAAAGACTCTAACAGTGCATCCAATCGTTTGGTACCTGTTGTCATTTCTAGGGCAGCTGCAGCATCTTCTTTTCTTCCACTAACTAAACCTCGACTTACATGTACATCTTTAGAACCCTTTATGCTATTACCTGCTATAACAACTCTTACTACAGAAGCCATCTCTTCTTGCATTTCTGGATTTCCAGCCAAGCCACAGACCCATTGTTCAAATAAGCTTACAGGTAAGTCTGGTGGATTTGTTGCAAGTTCTAAACCAGAAACAAATACTATCTTTCCTGAATTTTTGGATTTAATCGTTGATTGCATTGGACAATCACAAAAACACCATTCTTCAACCTTGATAAGAAATAAAGTTGAGTTTTTACTTTGTGATTTTATCAGAAATCGAGACAAAAATTACCTCAAATGTACTTTTACTATTCTCTGCTCCAAGTACTGCACAAACCACTCCAGTGACAGACATTTTAACATTGACATTATCGCCAGTCAGTCTTACTCGTGATGTTTGATCTTCTAAAAACAATTGGTCTTCATCTGAACAATAATCGACTAAAGGAGCTGGCATTGACATTTGATGCTCTTCGCTGAGTTCCTTTAAAATAGAAGGTTTATTTGGTTGATGTTTAAACAGAGTACCAATAATGGCACATTTTCTTCCTTCCTGCTCTTCTAGGTCGGATAATGGAATCAAGTTCACGTCTGAGCCTGAGTAACAAGATAAAAACATGAAATCATGTGTAAAAGACAAGTTTATTTTTTCAACTCACCCCATTTGACTTTTAGTTTAACTTTCAAAACAGACGCGAGCTCTTCCAATCGTTTGACGTACAGACTGGCGTACTGTTTGGTGTATTCATCACCTTCTTTGGCAAATCTACCGGAGTTGTCATCGTAATTGACTGTCTTTCTCTCGATCGAACATTTTTCAAATTTATCACCATCAAGTTTGACCATTTTTCCAAATACTTTTTTATCAAAATTGACGTTCGAGCAGCAGAAAGCAGTGGGTGTTATTTACGAACTTTCGATCCAATAACCTTACGGCAGTAGTTTCCCGCGATTTTACGAATGTGTCGACTGTCGCCGATCTATGAGATCAGAGACATCTGTAGTAAGACTCCGTAAGCTCAACTATAAGTTTCACAGGATTCAATTGCGACGTTACAGCTTGTAAATGAACTTTTTAGATAATCATACATTTTTCATATATTTTTGACCGATTGATTCAAAAATTATTTTGAAACTTTAAGTGTTATAATGGTCATCGTATATTGTTGCACAGATTGTATTTTTTTTGAAATTATTACGTCCCCTTTGTATGTAGCAGAGGAAAACCAGTAATGAAGCTGCAGATTCATTGTCAGGTCATACCCACTTTTGATATCGTTAGCTGTTTTCTGTAATTCTTCTGATACGTAAAAAAATCAAAGGAATAAAAAAGGAAATGACAAATTTTCGAAGATACTTGTATTTTTAAATTTATTTTTTATTACTGCCAAATTGTCACTTATAACCCCATAGAGATTATCTTACAATGGTAAATTCACTTAACAACGAGTATAATCGCCCTGCAATGATAAATAATTAATCTACAATCATATTAATAACGAATAATAAAGATTAATATTATTTATATAAAAAAAGGACAGTAATTAATAATCGTGTCCTTAAAAAGATCATAAAAAATTCACAAGACTCGCTGACAAATACTAATAATTTTTATATCGAAATATAGCTACGATCGTAAAAAATAATAATCCTTTGACATTTTTAAAATAATACGTTTTTTTTCCTTTAGATAGAAAGCCTCTAACTAACGATAAAAATTATAATACTAATATTGATGAATGACGAATAATCACCGTTGCAATATGATGCGACGTAAGCATCAACGAAACATGTCTAAGTTTTTTTTTTTTAATACCTTAAAATTAATATAATATCTGAGTAAGTTTTCATATAGCAAAAAAGATCTCGGCGATGACGGATAATAAACATATAAATATTTTATAAATATTATTTGATGTAATGAGAATAGAAATGAGAGTAATCAATTATAATAGTTAGGATAATTATAATAATTAATTTATTTTAATTAATTAAACATTATAGTAAGCTAATCCTTGCCCAGACACTCATGTTATTACTTAATATGCATGTTTTACAATGAATTCATCGCGATTTTTTTTATAATCTTACTTGTTGTTGTCTTTTTCTTGTTTGCTTTAAATATATAATATATATAATATATGTACTTTGCAATTATGCACTCGAGTCGACGCTTATTACACGGGGCGTTCAATTATAAATAGAATATTATCTTATTGCTTAGGTGATTTTTTTTCTCTATGATCCTCGCATGCGCCTTTTTCATACCCTCGATCTCTCTATCTTCTCTTGTCTGCGGGGTACGTGAAAATGTTCATACCCGTTTACAATTACAAGCCAGCATGATACTCGCGGCTGTTCACTTTTTTCCCCCTAATTAGAACACATGTTGTTTTACATATCGTACCATTTTTTTTACTGTTTTATTTTTATTTTACTGCTTTATTTTTCTTTAATCGTCAACTACAATTAATAATTGTTGAACACTTTCGCACTGTTCGCTGGCACTCGCGTCACTCTCAATTAAACGTATAATAACTCTTGCATTCTGTCGCCGCATTCGCCCACCACGTAGTAAATAATTCGTAATATATTATATATAATATATATATCGGTCATATAGTCGTAAGAAGTTTATAATAATATAATAATCATATATTTATACTTTTCTGTAATCGTTTTTTTTCTCTAAATTACTATATATAATATATATATTTATACTTTTTTTTTATTTATTTATAATCATGTATCATATATAATTAATCGTAGGTTTTTTTTACTTCATTACAGCTGTACGACATGATATGTATTTTGTAGTCCCAATGATTAATATGCACATCGCTTGTGCGGCGTACTGCTCGTGCCGAGCGTGTATACATTATATATATATATATTTTTTCTTTTCTTATCGCAATATCGAAGAGATCCATTGCAATTGAAGTACGAAGGAAAAGAAAAATATTGACATAAATGAAAAGAAATACTAGTAAACAGAAAAACAAATACGCACACGTATACACGCGCGAGCCCGAGCCGCACTTATGGACGGATTTATGTATTTTATCATTTATTTATAATATTTTTATATTCTTTTTTTTTTGTTTTTTTTCGTCTTTTAATCCTTTTTTTTGTTGCATTACTGTTTACTTCGTTATCGGCTCTTTCGCAAACTTTAATAACGGATTTTTCCTTTTTTCTCTCATTGCCGACGCTTCGCCGCGTCCGCCGCGATGCTTTTTATACATGCACGTCGAGAGATATTATCGCAGTGTGTATTTATATACGCAACGAATCGAGAATTTTCCTTTTTTTCTTTTTCATCGCTTTTTCATGTCAAAAAAAAAGCGTTTACAGAAGGGCTCGTAATATACACGCACACACATACGTACACGCACACACACACACACACACACACAGCCACCCACGACCAAGTCTAGGATTGTCTTTTCAATGTATAATTTTTTTTTTTATCCTCATTTTGTCTCCAACAAATGAATTTTCCATCTCGAGACGTGCGCGTCGACCCGTACCAGCGATCGTCCTCTCGTTTTCTCTCGGCTGGCGTTTAAAAATCGTTTAAAAAAAATTCCTCGGGTCTTCCTCGCACTCGCACGGAGGGAGAGAGACTCCAAAGATTGTCTGGAATGTCTGCGTATAGATTATATGATAATTCACACGTCAGAATCGGAGAAAACAAGGCGACGACCTCTTTATACGACTCGATCGCGATCGTGATCTCTCGGTGATATGCGGCTTATGCTCTTGAAACATTAGTCGTTTCAAGTATTACAGAAGTTCATAGTTTACACTGTTGCTGTTGTTGTTGTCTTTTTTTTTTATCAATCACAACGTTTTCTAATGTAGAATATTTATCATGTGTCCTATTGATTGGGCAGCGGCGCGTCCGAATAATAACACCAAAACATCATCGTTGCCTATATATCGTAATGCACACTCACACGCACACAGTATTAAGCTATTGCAGAACTGCTTCTCGTACGCTTACATTTTTTATTTTTCTTTTAACTCTTAAGTATCACAATAAACTCACACGAAAAGCTGCAACTATACTTGATTATTTATGTAGTATTTATATTTAAAATTTTTTTCATACTTTTCTTCTCGCATTCCTAATGTGTGTATACCCTTTATTTATTTATTTAATTTTTTTCCATCGTAATTCCGCGCCTTCTGCACGATAATACACCGTCACGGATGCAGCAGGTTCTTTTGCTTTCCGCACGCGCGACTCCGCCATATCGATTTTTTGTTGTTACAGTATATTGACCATTGCTTATATATTCTATTTCTCTCTCTCTCTCTTTCTCTCGTATTGACATTATTATTTTGTTGTTTAAAAGCTCGCGAAGAATAAAGCATTGTTGTGTGCCGCTGCTGCCGCTGCTACGAGGAGTGGCGAACTCGAGCGCACACACGGCGCACGAAGCAGGTATACACGTGTGTGTGTGCACCAGTGTAAGTGTGTAACATAACACAGTCCACAGCTGCAGCAGCAGCAGTGCACTGCGCGCACAGACACACACACACACATACCCGATCAAAACTCTAATATGACTTTGTTATACAAACCAAACCCATCTGCGGAAGCGTCGCTTCCGGTGAATTGTCTGCGCGCGAGCGGCGCGATGGGAAAAAAGAATAGATACATTTACTCGGGTATAGAGCCTGGCGCAGCGTATATATATTGTAGTATATACGTATATATGTATATGAGAAAAATCGGCAGAGTCGCGATGCAGAGAAGGTGGCGGAAGGTGAGGTTGAAAAATTGTCGAATCGGATGCAGTTTGAGCTTGTATTTTGTTTTCCTTTCTTCCTTTTTTTTTCGTTTTCATTTATATAAATAATGAAATATATGTCCAGAGAGAGATAGGCACGTTGTATACACACGAGCGGAACGCACCGATATTTCGTCGTTGCTGTCATTTATTTATTCTTTGTTGTTTTTTTTTGTTTTTTTTTTCGAGTACAGACAATTACATCGAATACTAATAAGCACAACACGCGTCAAATTGCTCTAATACACGAGAATCCTTAATTGTTTTTACGTTTTTTTTCTTTATTATAATATCGGATATAAATTACGGATCATTCGCACGCATGCATGCAGACACACGACAAAAGCGAAAATTATAAACACGATGTGTGATGTATAAAGTATAGGTACTCACTAACAACAGTCGCGTATATTATTAATATAATTATATATGACATTAATTTAATAATTAAAAAACTATAATAGTTTACAATAAGCTTTCAGCGAACGAGATTTTTAAAACTTTTGTTAACCCCCCCGTTACGATCGTTTAAAAAATTTCTTTGTATAAGTAATTAAATATATCATTTTATATATATCATATACTTTTTTTTTCGAAAAAGGTGCGCGACTCGACATTTTTGAACGCCGATTTTTAACATGTTGCAAGTATTTTTTTTTAAAAAGAGATCTCATAATAACAGTCCCTGATTAACGTGACGACTCATTAATTGTTTTTTTTTTGTTTTGTTTCACAAAATCAATATTAAAATTAGCTATATCACTAATGTAAAGATTGGGCACTGCGCGAGGCGGTCGTAGTAGTATACAACCGCTAAAACTACGATTCATTATCTTTCCTTGTTTTTTTTTTTTTACTTTTTTAACCTTTGTTTTCTTGTTTTATAAATCATATTACTACTTCATATCAATTAGTTTGCACATTTTCGTAGCAAAGTACAATATATAATACAACGAATAGAAATCTTTGGATTTCTCGTTAATTTTCGAGGCTCTTGCATACTTTCATAAAAGTTTACAGTAAATTTTCGAGAATTGACGCTTTAAAAATTACACGAAAAAGAAGCGCTCACAAGTAGAAGTGTAAACGCCTTTTTTCTTTACTTTCATTGGTTTAAGTCACCTAGGTTTTTATGTTTTAATTAAAAATTTAATTAATCCATTTCACTTTGTCAGTTCGACAAGAGAATGCTCATTTTTTTATCGTTTCTTACAGGTTACAATAACAATCATATTTCACTAGGATTTAAGGTACGATCATACTTTCAACCGTTTTCATGTATAATGTTTTTTTTTGTTTGTTTGTTACTTATTTTGCGTATTCGTAATAAAAGCACTTAAAAAACGCATTACAAAAGTCGCACATCATGGGGGAATAGGGCGTCCTCTCGGTCCGCTTTTTTCTTCCTCATATACAAATATAAAGTTGATTACAAGATTAAAAGCTAACGATATACAATCATAATAAGCGCCTCGGAAATTTTCGCGAATCACCAGGAGTTATTCCTCTTTTTCCTGCCTTTACTCTGTTTTTTCATCCTCTCTTAACTTCGGATTTTAATTACTTTAATTCATTATACTCTCGTCCGCAAATATTGACTTTATCACATCGCTTAATTAATAATATACTTTCATGCGTTTCGTCTATTACAATGCCATTGACTTAATAACTAACTGTTTTTTAATTATTTTCCTGTTTTGTAAATACCGCATAATTCAAAGGAAAAAATCTTAAATTATAATAGCTCTTTTACTCATCGTTATTTTATTTTTTTTTCTGTTTGTCACATCTTACCGATGGTGATACTTTCATTGCTTAATAAATGTCACTCTCTGTCTGTCTTTACTTTCATTACGTTTTTTTATACTTTTGTTGACGTTCACTAAGTGTTAGTACTCGTGTTTTTCCATCTTGTTTAAGCTTTTTTCCTTTTTTTTCTCGTTCATACGTCTTTGGGTCGACATCTTTGGTGAGTCCCGTATCAAAATTTTCTCTCTCTCTCTCTCACATCGTCATTACTTATATACTAACTCGTAAGTTTATACTTTCATCGGTTAATTTTTCATCAGGTTAAATTACACTTATTTTTTTTAAATCTAATTAATACGCACCTGCCTAATGTCTCTCGCTTTAAAACGACGCCTCGTTACACACAACACCCACAACATTATACATAATACACGGACAAAAAAAATTACAAAAAACCGAAAATTTACGTTATATTCTCACACCTTCAAGATCATTATCGAGCCTCGCTAAAAGTAATTTTTCTTTAAATATTACGGACCGTAAATGACGATACTTTATTTGTTGTATTTATCTTTCGTTAAAATTTTTTTAACACTTAAGCTCGTAACTTGGACACGCGTATGATTAAAAAGGACAGTCCACAGCTTGTTTGAAGTATTAGTTTTTTTAGGAGGAATAGTTAGTAGTATATTAAGAGTATCGTTGCGCTCGCGTTCGTGTACATGAGGTTGGCGAATTTTGCTCTTGTCGAGTAGTTTTAATTGGTCGCGTTCCCCTCGCACGTAACAATTTTTTTTTCTTATTTTTGTTTCTCTTTCTCTCTCTTTTTTAAGAGCGTTTGGAAATTCGAAACTCGCCTGCTCGAAAGATCATTTTAATCGTCGTCGGATAATTGCGGGTTTCCTTTAAATTTTCGTCAAGGTCTTTGTATATTTTTTTGTTTATATATTTAGAGGCGGGGTTCTAATGAGGAACAAACTCGCGTACGCGCTGGAAAATCGTTTAATCTAGATTGACACGGTACAAAATAGCTGATTGACATTATTAACGCGCGCGCCCGTTTGTGTACGGTAGCGCGCGATGAGATATTTTTTTTTTTTACCTTTTTACAATCCTTCATTTATAGCTTAAGATCTACGGCCTTCGATTGAGATTTACGTTTACATTGCTTTGGAAATAATTGATTTTTCACGTTTTTTCGTTTTTTAAGTGTAAAAAAACTTTTACGTCGTTCGCAGAGGAGGAGTACGAAGTTGGACAAGTCGGATACAATCTTTATCCGCTACTTTTTTGTTTCTGTTTAATTCTATAAATATTTTCATGTACTATGTATGCTGCGTACGATTAGTATTTGCTTTTCTATAATGTTGCTCTTCCAAACATTTATTTACCACACACGTTTACACATTAGTTCTAGTACAATTAAAGGTTGGTTTTATTTTTAAAAGTACGATTACGTTAAGCGTCAGGTTATATCGAGTCGATTAAAAACGCGTCGTGTTTCATTATAATGTAAAATTTTGGTAAAAAAGATTTTTCAAGTAAAAAATACCATTAAATTAGGGATATACACCTAGTATCATATATTTGAACCCTTTGCGCACGTATCAAAAGTTTCAACGCGATCAGGTACGAAAAGAAAAATTATTCCGAGAGAACGTTGTCTTTTATTATTTTATTAAAAATACGAACGTCACAGTATGTCGTGCGTTGTATACACCTCCACTAGAAATCGGTCGTTACTCTTTTACACACCCGCGTTTAGTTCGTTCGTTTTCTCGATACCTTGCCTGCTCTCTTTCGCTCTCTCTTTTTCAAATTAAATTTTACAATCGGTCACAGCGTCTCGTCTAATCCTACTGATATGAATTAGTTCACTTTTTTTTTTGTTTTCTTTAAAGCACTTTGAAAAATTCAATCTACACACGCACGTACTCATCGCGTAAAAGTTAATTTTTTTTTTAATACGTTTATCGATATACACTACTGATGCGTCGTCCAAAAGTTTCTTACTACTTTGCGTGCGTTTTATGCATACACGCGTCAACGGGGAAATTTCAATTTTCGCGCAATTAAGCCACCCGCCGAATCTCGCGATACAGAAGTAGAGCTCGCGCACGAGAGAAAAAAAATGTAATAAAACCAAAGACGAGGAAAAAAAAAAACAGGGAAAGAAAGAAAGAATGAAAGATGAAAAAGATGAAGAACGACGAAGCCGCGCGTCGTTGACCCCTTGTTTCTCACGATTTAGTTTTGCGATATATATATATGTGCGATGATGAAATTGTCGAGTGTGTATACGTCTCGTGCCCCCGACGGTGGTGCACATAATACTCTCTCCTCGTTTCCCTAGTCTCGCACGTGCCTTCTCGTCGCCACTTTATTAATGCGAGAAGACGCTGTTGTTGCTGTTGTTTGTTGGCCAGTAGCATCAAATGCATTCGCGAGTTCGTATGTATGTGTGTATATATGGCCATCGTCAGCGACTCTCGTCGGCATGACTCGCGACGACGACGACTCGTGGACAAGATTACGTGCCCGAGTCGTGGCCCTTTTTTTTCTCTCTCTCTCTTCATCTTCTTTCTCTCATTTTGTATCTCTTTCTCTTTCTCTTTCTCCGCGCACATTGTGCTGAAGCTCGAGCTCTCTTTTGTCCCCTGTGAGAATGATTCCCGCGACTGTCACCTTCTTCTTTTCTCTCTTTTTTTTCCCCCACGTCCCTCTCTCTCTCTCTCACTCTTTTTCTTGTCCGTGTATATAGCAGTAACAGCACGCGTTAATTGGCTCGTTCGTCGGCTACCGCACCGCAGCGCTCGTCGTCGGCACAGAAAAATTCCAAAAGTATGCGCCGTACACTTCTCGCGAGCGCGAGCTGTAATAATATAAATCGCGCGACACACACACGTGCGATGCACCGATGCATCGATGAAGATACACGCGTTGCATGTATAAATTTCCCTCTCGCGATCTCCGTACGTGTACACAACGAAAAGATCTCCGGTCGTTTTTCCAACGAGAGTTCGAGAGATCCCATTCGGTGGGCCCCTCCGTACATACATACACAAAAGTGCAAAAGATAGGGTATGAAAAAAAAGAAGGCAAAAGAAGGCTTGAATAATCCATCTATTGCCCGGTTTTCTCAAACTCTCTTTTCTTCGACTATACTGCATGTATACCGTATGTGTACGTAGAGCCGCTGCAGCGAGAGCGAGATAGAGCCGAGAGAGAGAGAGCGAGTAGGGGCAGTGCACCAGCAGCAGCAGCAGCAGCGAGTCTCTGCGCCTCGGCGCGCGCTGTGGTCATGTTTGAATTCGACCGGTCGTTGAACCTCCTCGAGCCGCGTGTACTCTTTCTCTCTCTCTCTCTCTCGGCTCTCTTCGAAACAAAAAAGGAAAGGGCTCTCTCTCTCTCTCTCTCTCTCTCTCTCTTCTCTCCACTTCGCGGTTCTTGCCCGTTCTCTCGAGCCTCGGCGCGCAACTGCAACGGCCACAACTGCATCCATAAGACCTCGAGAGAGAGAGTCTATATAGCAGTCCCTTTTTACTCTCGTAATGTAAAGCTGTGTGTGTGTATGTGTACGTGTGCCCTGGCAAGATGATTCCATGCCGCGATTAGAGACAGATATCACGCAGGCCTCGTCTCTCTCTCTCTCTCGTCCGTTTTTTCTTCCTCTTTTTGTCTCTAATGCACGTGTAAAGATGCGTTCGCTCTCTTTCTCTCTTTGCTGCACTTCGCGGAAAGTTCGCGAAGGAAATGACGCGCGAGAAGGAGATGGAGAAAATAAAAAAAAATAAAAAAATAAAGGTCAATTGGGATGTATATGCATAAAACGCTTCGATTCGCGGATAAGAGAGTGAACGAGCGAGGGAACATTCGCAGTAGCCGAAACAACTGTGTACTCTGTATTCCTCTACATGTAATACAGAGGGAGAAGAAACCCGCGAGGGCACTCGAGCAAAAAATCAATTATTCCCGCGACTTTCCCGTGCAGTTTGAAGTTTTGCTCCGTTGTATGATAATTTCGTTGGAGCACGAGAGAAGCGATCGCGTTTAAATCCGGAAAAATTACCGACTGCTGGCGGCTTTGAGAATATTCCCTCGATTCGTTGTGTGTATGTATCCGTAAAACGGCGCGCGGCGCGAGATCACGATTTGTCATGTTTCTCATCCAGTTGTGTCCTCGTTACTCGTTTCTCTCCGAGTTTCGCGCGCACACCCCCTCCTTCTTGTTGCCTCGTCGCTTTGTCTCGATGCAATAAAATCCGATTCTATGACAAATATATTTATATATAGTTTATATATGTACAGTATACAGTACGGTAAGATAAATATATATGATGTATATATTTGTAAGAGATTGTATAATATCCAGTTGTTTCGTGTATATAGAAGATAAAATACGCACTTGCGAGATACAACGCACTCTCGGCTGTTGTCCAACTTTTTTTTTTGTTTGTTGCTAAAAAGGTCTTAGATCCTAATGATATGTTCGCGTTCGTCTTACGTCGTTTATAATATCGATAATTTAATTTTTTTTATTTATATATTAATCGTCGTTAATTGTATCAGATCTCCCTTTCGAGATTGTTTGTTTTTTTTTTGTATGTTTACTTTCGTTTTTCAACCGATTCGAAAAGACTCGGCCCCTCGGCTAATTATAATTAATTGTATATTAATAATTACTAAAAACCCACTGACCCCACATAGGACATTTTTTTTCGTACTTCGTCACGCTCCTTTTCGTCGTGCTTTTTTTTTTTTTACTTTCATCAACAAGACACGCAGTTAAACGTTTTAAATTACTCGCTTTAAACTTTTTTTTTCTTCTTATCTCTCCTTCAATTTTTTTTTATTTTCTTAGGGCACCTTTGGTATTAAGCTTGGATGTTAGTGTCATATATCCTCGTTCCTTCAATCATCATCGACGCGCACTCTCGACCTTTTATCCGACTCTTGGATCGCCTCGAATACGACGCGACACTCGCACACATTCATTCCTGGCAAAAATTCGAATTTATCTACGACGAAATGTTAAAGGTTAAATTTTTAAAATCTAATACTTCTCCCCCTTTTCTATCATCTCTTTCTCTCTCTCTTGCACACATTTTTCTACTATCGCTTCGACGCGACCTCGTGTCGCCATAAAAGGTTACGTTTAATTTCTTCTCTTTAAACATTCGTTTATTTCTTTAATTCTTTTTTTTTCTTAATTGCGTGTGTAATAAATTGTATTGTGATAGTGTGTGTGATGAGTCGTCGTGACCTCTTAACAGTGCCTTTTTACAATCAATATTTAAAATCGACCGTAACGAAAATTTTTGTCGTTCATCGCCGGTCTTTTTTATTTAATTTTTTTTTACGAAGTGACCCGCGCGTCTCGATCCCAACTTCTCTTTCTGCTGCCTCTTCTTCTTCGTTTTTTTTTCTTATGTCTCTATTTAATATTATGTACCGGTGGATTCGGAGACGCGCGCTCACGACTCGAAGGCCCCGTTTTAAACATTATACTTTCATCGGTTTCGCTTTTTTTTATTTATCTTTATTTCTTACTTAGTACTTTCTTTCGGTTACTGTGTTTACTTTCATTTAGTTACTTGTAGCTGCACCCTGATTTACGCTATATACTTTCGCTTGATATGTCGTTATTCTTTCCTTCAAATAGTTTACTATAATAATTCTTTTTTTTTTTTTTTTTTTTAATTTTCTAACTTCTTCGTTTTCTTTTTTTTGGTCAAAGGAGCGCGCCCAACGCGGCCGACGCTCTGTTATATACGAAAAAATCAACATATACTGCGCGCTTGAGCGCATTTTTATCGATTTTAAGTTAACGAATGTTTAAACTATACAGAACAATGCAAGTAGTTAATTACAAAGGAAAGTCTTACACAAGTCATACAATTATATAATACAAAGTCGACGTAAAAGACATAATCGAACGTATATGTTAATATAAAAAAAAACTGTACGTAAACTTGTTCCCTGGCCCGCGAACGAGAGAACTTGATTATTGAAAAATTATAAGCCTGGAGACCCCCTCGCGAAGGGTTGCGTCTCGCTTCTTTCGCCCTAATGCAAACACACAACACACAGTTAATTTCTTGTACGTTTTTCCCTCTTCGTGTATACGATAATAGTTTTTGTGTGTATTTGAGTGTCATCTTTTTACTTCGCATTAAAAATTTTTCTTAATTTTTTTTTTCATACTTTCTGTCGTCCCAAAGACTCTCCGTCGAATTTCATTAGTAATAATTTTGTTCTACGTCACGCGCTCGATGCAGTAACGCTGATGATGATATCGCTTATACACGCTTTGCTGTCGCTGCTGATCCTGCTGCTGCTGCTGTTGTTTCGTTTCGTCGTCGCGAGGACGTGATAATACGTGCGTCGACCGAGGACCGCCGCTCGTAGTAGTTGCTTCTCGTTGCGGCGGTAATGGTCGTCGTCGTCGTCGACGTGGTGATCAATCCTCGTGCCTCACATGCCGTTCAGATCGATTTTAAGGTTGCCCATTTTCTTCTCCCTTTGATCCCTGCAAACAGTTTTGTCGAGAATTCGATTTACTTCCTTGAGTAGTAGGCTCTACATTCGAAAAAAATCATAAAGAATGAAAAAATTGACGCATGCTTCATTTGTATTAACGTTCGAGGCATTTTTTTTTTGTTTTTTTTTTCAAGCACATATTATCTCTTAACGGACATTAAAAAAAAAAAAGTTATGTTATAGATTGTATGAACATTCATGTACACTAATGATATATTTATATGTAGAAATATCTACGAGGAAAAACGCAGGAAAATAAAAGCTCGCGATATATTAGTCGTTGTTGTCGGACCGCGAAAATGCGAATTTCATATCCGAATGGTGGATATAATGAATAATACCGCGTTCTGTCACTGTCGCAAGCATTAACGCGTCTCGCGCCCGTTCGATCTTTATTATCAAATTTCTTCTCGATGCATACAATCAATCTTCATTCCATCTATGCCATTCATAAAAGGCTGCTATCGCTCATTTCGAGAGAAAAATAATGAAAAAAATAAATAAATAAATCAACGCAGTGCAAAGCAAGTTCGGTAGGCAAAGCTCGGCAATAAAGCACAGCTACATCATAAGCATAAGCGTATATATAATGATGGAAAAGTACGCAAACTCGTCTGGATGCTTCGGCCCAACGATCGGAACCAACTTACATATACGCTCAGTTTGAAGAATACAAGGATAGAAAGAGAGAGAGAGAGAGAGAGAGAGAAAGACATAAGTATATGTTATAAATTAAACATCCGATTGTTTTAGGAGCATCCAAGCGAGCAGAGCGTAACGCACCCACTGCTCGTTGTTCCGCGATGCGGAACGTAAAAGGAAAAAAAAAAAAAAATAAGCCACAAGCTCGCGTTTAAAGGCCAAAGATCTGGTCTGCATTTATTAACGGGGAACGTATACGTATATACGGCAATATACATAATAAGCTCGAGTCGTTGAACATACGATACCCGATATTAAGTCTATACTTGTGCCGCGCACTCGATGAGCGGCGAAAATTAAGTAAAATGAACAGCAATATACATCGATAAAATACATCATCTACGATCATGCAAACATTTCTTTTTTTCTCTTATAAAAATGAGTCGCAAAGTGCGAACGAATAGAGGTTAATCGTCATTACGATGCAGCACATTTAGAGGAAACAATTAAAAAATTTCAAATATATATATAGATCGACCATCAAAATATATATCATAAATGATTGTAACAATATAAATCTATATAGTAATATACGAAATATATAATATATCAATATATTATGTATGGTAGGCGTACTTCGATCCAGAGGCTGGTCAAGCCGACCTCGGCCATTTTCGACTTAGCGTACTCGATTCTTATGGCGCCACGATCGGATGAGACCAGCAGCGAGCCCTGGAGTGCGCCCATCGCTTGGGCGGCGCAGCGCACGTCCTGGTACTCGACGAAGGCCACCGGCGAGCCGCCTTTCGTGTGCATGCGCAGCCGACAGAAACCAGGAAAGCTGGTTTTCGCGCGTGGTTCGTTAGTTCGTTTTCACGTTCGTTTTTGTTTTTTTACGATTTTTTTTGGCCGGTTGGGTGATTATTTTTTTGTTAAGAAGTGATGGTGGTGATGGTGATGGTGGTGATGGTGGTTGGAGGTGCATGAAAAACAAAGAAAAGACGACCAAACACTCTAGTATGCAAGGATTTGCTGTTGTTGATAAGTTGCCTAACATAGTAATATTCGAGGAATATAATAATGATCCAAAGCTTTTTTTCTTGCATTCATTCTTGCGCACTATTACGCATCTATACAGGCTAATGTTTTTTTTTTTTTTTTTTAATACATCGTTTTCCAGTCGCAACAATGACGATAAACGAACGATCGCCTCGTTTGGCCCGAGTACATATCTGCGCGTTACGAGGTGCAGCTAATGAACGATTCCGAACAGTACACCCGGTAATAAATAATTGCCAACTCGATCGCCTCGGCTCGTCGTTCCGCTCTGAAAGCTCAACGGAGAGCCTCCACGTCCGTAACCGAGCGCATTTATAAAAGACAAAAGAATCTATCCCAAACGGCAGCGACGATCGCATTACCTTTCGCGGCTCGCGGCATTAAACTCGTGCATAAGGCCGCGCTCGATCTATGTATACGCGTGTGTGTGTGTATTTATTGCGGCGTGCGCCACGTCGTGTATACAACAAGTATATAACGTATCGTGTAGCGCGTGACGTATATGTGTATATTATACGCGTGCAGCGTGGAACGAAAGTATAAGGAGAGGTTATTGCGATGCAAAAAAAAAAAAAAAACGTGACTCGTACGTCGATGCTCCACATTGATCTGTGCAATTTTAGTTATCTATCATCTGCGAGCAGTTGATGACGGACAGCGAGAGCTTGAGCGAGAAAAAACAATAAAAGCTCCGGTAGAAATGCTCAGCGTTAACTATGGCCCAATGATTTTGGCGATTTTCCCGTTAAAATTATGTTACAAATATCAAAAATTTAACCAAATTTTCAAGTACTTCGAGCCTCTACCGCTAGATGGCGAGTACCTTTAATTCTACAAATCTGCAAGTGATAAAGTTAACTTATTTGTATGAGTCGAAGCGATAAGCAAACAATATTACAGTGTTTGTTTCCTATAGTGGTTTTTAAGTGGAAAATAAAAAATAATCATGGAAAAAATGCTTTCGCATGGTAATTTGAATTTGATGTTGGCCGTAAAATGGTCAAAAAAGTAGAACAATATATGGCCATAGTATGCTGAGCATCTCTATCAGGGAGAAAACTCGTGGCGATCCGATTTTCTTTCGTCTCCGCGCGACACGCAGAAAATCAATCCCGTAATTTCGCGCGCTGCGTTCGATAGCATACGTACGCAGCTGCAGCAGCTGTCCCTGAGTAAATTTAAACGTTCGCAAATCCGAAGCATGGCTTCGATCGAATTTTTCCTATATTCACGCGTACGAGGATATAATTGAAAAATTTATACAGAATCGCTCGCCGATCGTCGACGTCTCTGCGTCGAGTGTCTCTTGTCGTTGGACACGTGGGAAATGGAAAATAATACAGACGGAAAAGAAGATGAAAAAAATAACGGAATAACAAAAAATATAAAAAGAAGAAAAAGGAAAAAGAGATTCGATATGTGTAACACAAAGCGCGCGCGCGGCGCAACACACGAGCCATATAGTTGCATCGAAACGCGCCGAGAAAACTTGGGATCGATTTCCCGTCTCTCTCGAGTATAGAACGCGCTGTCTATACAGCTGGTGCTGCACATACATATAGGAGGCGTACTGCCCGGCGCTCACGGTGTACACGATATATTCGCAAACGGTATATTTTCAATCTTGTATCAAACGCGTTTATATGTGTATGTGTATTTCGCTATATGCATTGCTTTTGTGCTATTGATTTTGCGCGCTCGACACACTCGAGCGTCCGAAGCTTTTATATAAATATATAGGTACTCGACGACGACGACGACGACGGCTTTTCTCGATCTTCGATTTGTTTCCCCCGATTTCTCTATATATCTGCGATATGTACGTATCGAGTCGATAATTGAGTTGGGAGATTATTTTTTGTTTCTTCCGAGCTATATAGTGTAACCATCGAGATCTGTGTGTTATACTCATTAGCGGAATCAGTGAGTGCGAGAGGGGCGAATGAAATACGATGGCTCGGTGCAGATCTATATACGGATATAATCAAACTACAATACATTTTTCGCTATCAACGTTACGTGATGTGAGAGCAAGAGAAAATATATGTATATAACGAGATTGCGTGCTTTATGCTTAGATATACAGGTGCAATCGTAATATCATTAGATGAAACCAAAAAAAGAACGAAAAAGTAAAAATGAAACAAAAAACGTCGCGTACGTACAAATAGACTCTGCTTAAACATTCGACGTTTACCGACTCGAGAAAAAGGCAGACGAGAAGGAAAGAGACGATAACCCGTCCTTCTTTTTTTTCGCCTCGTTCCCAAAGCAATTCGAAGCTTGTGCACTGCTACTAGAGTATTCCTATGTATTATATTCGCATCGAGGTATCGAAGCAAACGCAAGAGCGAGCTAGCTCGCACAAAACCTTATAGCAGAGCAGCCTTAAAGCGCAGCAGTGGCGGCGATGGCGGCGACCGACCGTAAGAAATATTTCGCCGAATGATAAATTTTTACCTCGTTCGAGCTCGACGGTATACATCATCTCTCTCTCTCTCTCTCTCTCTTTTCTCACCTTTCGCGCGCGCTCTATACCTACGTATATTCCGAAACAATGAAGGGGAAAATTTCCCGTGCCCTCGTAAAAGTATAAAATAATACAATATATCGCTACGGATTGCAGCCGATTTTTCTCTCTCTCCTGCCGTGTGTCTACGTCTCTCTCTCGCTTTTCTTAGACAGAAACAAAAGAAAATCCACAGGCTGCAGCGGCAGCGATGTACCGCACTGGAGCAGCTAGCTCTCTACGTGGAAAATCTCGCATAATTTTCTCCTCTTCCGCGGGCTTATACGTCGTATTATGCGCGCTGCGCCGTTGGAAAATCAGCATAATGCAGCGCGCGTATTGCACATATGCGAACGGGCGTGAGAAAGGTCGTATTATATTCGTATATATGTGCCATTTGTAAGTGCGCGAGTACGTATGGAGGGCAGGTGTGCACGCATACACGTACACACACGTATCCACCCACGTATTCGTGTCGTCGTGCAAGTTAGTACGCGCGTGTGTGTGTGTGTGTGTTATATTGCGCACGCTCGAGCTTCTGCGCGCCCGATTAGCCTTATCGCTTATAACTTATGCGCGCGCGAAACGTCTTATCCGCGCGCCACTGTTACTATACTACTACTACTAAGCTGCTGCTGCTATCCACTATTCGCTCTCGGTCTTCGCGAACATTACTTCCATTGTACTTGTGTGCGTTACACGTTCGGACAAAATATCGCGCGTGTATAGTACAAGTGTGTTTGCGTAAGCTCTCGCGTCGTCGTGGAAAAATATTTTTCCCGAACGAAAAATCATCGACCTTTATTTTTTTTTTCTTCCACATAAATATATATCGTTGGAGCTACGATTTTGAATCACGTTCGCGTCTCTGGTCTGTGTATATGTTTGTGTGTGTGCATTTAGCTGTAGTGACTATATGCACAGACACACACACACACACACAAACACGCATACCGCGTGTATCGTCGTTGCTACTGTGCAATTATGATAATGATACGTGTATAATACCGCACGACGACTACGACGACAACAACGAGTCGAGTCGAGTACAGTACGATATACGTAAATTTTGCTTCGTCGTTTTTTTTCTTCTTTTTTTTACTAGAAAATACGTGTGTGTGTGTACGCGCGCGAGACGTTATTAACACAATTTCTGCCTTCTTGTAGAGTAGGCTGCCTGCGCCGGCTCCGTGTCTATATGCATTCTAGATATATCTCTACGCGCGCGCGCGCACCGATTTCTTCGCCGAGCTTTCGCATTCGCAAAAGTCAAACTAATTTTGTAATTATGTTAAAATCCATTTCGTTCTCCGAGCCGCGCGCGCTTTAAATGACATGGAAGCGAGTAGGTATAGTCTCTTTCTCTCTCTCTATATAATGCAGCGCGGCTTGGAAAATATCAATCCTGCGCGCACACCGAGCAAAAGTAGAGCGCTTTCGAGCGAGAGCCGCTGCTCGAGGAGGTGAAATTTGTCATAGTTTTCCATGCGGAGCGCGCAAAATTAGGTTGGGCTCATAATTCTTTACAACCTCCGCCGCCGCCGCGCGCGCTCGGAGGCCTCAGGAAGCGTAATCCTTTTCTTCTTTTTTTCTTTCTCTCTTTCTTTACTTTCCGCGCTAACGAAAATAACTCGAAAAACGTCGATGGAATTTATATGTATATACGTGCAGAGAGCTATTTACAGATAGGCAACTCGACGTACATGTATTATAGGCCGAGTGCATCGCTTGCAGTTGTCTTCGAGGTTTACAATCATCGAGCGCCATTAACGCGCGGCATCGATTTATTTATATTCTCTCTTTCGCGCGCGCGCAAGAGCTTTAATTATTACGTACGCTACACGGCGCAGAGAATAGAGAAAGTATAGAATCATGCGCAGCGTAGTAAATGTTTCGAGCCTTTTCTTTCTTCCTCTTTTTCTTTGTGCTATAGTCGACTGTGCAGGGTAAAAACGAAAAGAGCTATCTCGGCGCTCTAATGGCTCGGAGGAGCTCTAATCGCTTAATGAAGATTTTACCAGAGTTTGCCGTGTACCGTGAGTTGTACGAACGTGCATATAGAAAAACGTCTCTCTCTCTCTCGGCTTTAGAACGCGCGCGACTACATATTTTTATATAACGAGGCGTGTAGACACATAAATATATATAAATACATCTTTTTGTGCGTCCCTCGCGCGCAACAAAAGCCGATGATTTGTCGGCTTGCATAATCTTTGATGAAAATGTACATAACTACATTTGAGAACACGCGCGTGCCACCGAGATTGTCTTCGGCAGGTTTTTTTTTCTTCGTTATTCGTTTTTTTTTTTTCAGTTGTTTCTCGCGTATAATACGTGCATCTCTGCTGTTGTACCTCGACTCGCGCGGTTATTCAATCGGCGCGTGTAACTATATAATATATACTCGCGCGCGCGCGGCTATGCGTGTGTATAACGCGCGAGAGATCGCCGTATTATTGCATGTGTCGTTCGTTAAGTTACGTAAAAAAAAAAAGAAGAAGAAGAGTAAGGAAAAAAACGTCGAAATTTGTATGCGAATCGAAAATCGAAGAAAATCGGTAAGAGAGCGAAATTTGAAAGAGAAAAACTGCGCGTGTATTGATACGTAGCATCGAGTATAATAAATAAATTAAACCAAACGCGTGTTGCTGTACAACTACTGCTGCAGCTGCACGCGATAATGTGGGTCAAAAATATCGTAAATCCATTGTGTTGCGCTCGTGCAGCATTTACGCGCGCGATATCGCCCAAGCTCGAAGAATGTAAAGCTTTTGTATGTATCGTATTAAATACGTTATGGGGAGGCAAATGTGTGTGTGTGTGTGTGATTGTGAACGTTACGTATTAGGCGAGAATAATTGAAGATACTCGAGAGCGCGTCACTGCAAAATTATTGCCTTTGGAATATATCGCGGAAAATCGATGCGGCCGCGCGTATATACGCGCGCCTCGCAGTCGAGTCGTGCGATTTACTCGTACGTGTGCGCATACATACGAAACCATGAATTTTCCCGATAACCGTCGGGTAAATCGCCGCGTTTATACACATAAGTCGTTATTTCATCATTATTGTTATTATTATAAATAAAACACACAGCTGTCAAAAGTCTACGAGAAAAACCACACTCTCACACGCACACTCCACTCGTTTTATGATTATGTAAAAAAAAAAAAAATTCATTACGCACGAAAGCAATATAGAAATGAAAAACCAAACGGTTTGTCTCTCTCTTACCTGTTGAAAATCTCCTTGAGCTCGTGCTCGGAGACGAACTGGCCGAGATTGGCGACGAAGAGGGTCGAGCAGGGCGCGTTGCTGACCGCTGCGAGGCTAGGCTGCGACGACGACGAGCCCACGGGCGACGCCAGGGCCGGCGACGGCAAGAAGTGCGGCAGCGAGGCGTGTATCGACGTCAGGGCCGTCGGGTGAGGCAGCGACATTTGCTGTTGCTGTTGGTTGTCGTCGTTGGAAGCAAAAAATAATAATTTTTTTTTTTGGTTTCGTTAACATCGAAATGTGGTGATAATTGCTCTTTAACTGTCTACGAAGCTCTCTTGAAATCGTGCAAAGCCTACATCTTGAATTTTCCGAATTTTGACCCCGTTTTTCGTTGTGCTTTCTTTCGGTTCAAACGAGTGCAAAAGAAAGTCAGACAAACGTACTCGTGCTGGGGTTATTTTTGCCCGTGGAACTGTTAATGCCACTACGTCATAAGAAAAGCTAGATCCGATAAATCGATCTCGTGTCTCGACTCCGTGGCACCGTGTCAGGTGTACGCGTGTGTGTGTGGGTGCCGTAATGTGCATGCCGTAAAATTCAAGGAAACAGAACTCGGACACACTACCATTACATTAAAAAAAAAAAAAAAAAAAAACAGCCCATCTCGTGCATAAAAAAGTGATGAAAAAAAAAAACATCTCTCTGAACTTGTGCTCTCTTGTTACTAACGCGGGCAAACGCGCGCGCGGCAAATCTTTTACGCGCATTGTTGAGCCAGATTTTTCGACTGTAAAATAGAGCCCCGGCTGCTGCTACACGCCGCTGCGCGCGCCCCATTTAAATGCAAAGCATATCTATACACGTATATATCCCTCCCCGTGGCTTTCCATGAGCCGGGGAATTTTCTTGCACTACATAAAGACATTCAGTTATGTAAGGGTAATTGAAAAAAAAAGAAAAAAGGAACGAAAAAGTTTCTTTCGAGCAAATTAAGAATATCTTCTCTGCTCGCCGTAGTACTACAAAGTGCAGCTGATGCCCTTCCACCCAACGCGGCCGCTCTCTGCAAATGCTATCATTTCGGCATAAGGAAATCTTTTCTTTCGCTGGAGAAATATATCGCGCCCACTCCCTCCTTTTCTTGTTTTCATTCTTTCCTCTCTACCCTTCTTTTTTTTTTGCTGCTGCTGCTGCCTTATCTCTCCACCTTCTCGTCGTCGTCGTCTGTGCCGTGTCTTGGAAAGTGCTCTTTTTTTAACTTCTTCTTTTTTATTTTTAAACCCTAGCCCCGCGCGCGCGCTTAACTCCGACTACGACGACGACGACGACGACATTATACAAGGAACACAAGTTCATATTTAATCCTTGGCTCTCTTTGACGTGCAGCGCATACATTTATACTATATAGAGTCAGAAAGAGAGAGAGCCAAAAGAGTCCACGCGGCGAGTAGTAGACGAGTCGCTGCGCCGTGCACTGCAACGCGCGCCCGTTTGTTTGATGAATACAAGAAATGGGCACTATGGCAACGCACACACACACACACACACACACAGACACACACTAACATTATCTACGTCTGGTGCAAAGTATACATGCTATTATACGTCTATATCTATAGAAAAGCACGACCTGGACGACGACGACGACGGTTCTACGCGAGGGGGCTAATACAATTTTCACGACGTTTATATTGCACAAGCTCCAGTTCTGTGTGCGCCGCGTGCAGTATATGTATACACACACGTATATACTTTATGTATATGTGTGGCACGTGCAACGCGTCAGTCAAAAAAAGAAAGGAGTGAGTCGCGCGGCGTAGTGCAGCAGCACGCGGTCGGGGTCGCGCCATTATTATACATCCGCGGAAGTCTCTCTCCGTTGCTGCTGCTGCTGCTGCTGCTGCTGCTGCTGTGACAGCATGCAGCAAACTTTTGAAATCGTAAAATTATAATCCGTATAAAAAATGATCGATTCGGCCGTCGATTGTTTAATAAAATTTATACGGCATAAAATTAGCTCGCAGCGCGAATCGATTCGATGCGATAATAATAATGACGACGATGATCAACGTCCCGTAATTCGGCTTGTTTCCAAGAATATATACGTAACGTCCTACGGCCGTTCGATAAGAGGCAAAAGCGCAAAACGGAAGCTTTATATATAGACGAATGTATAATTTAACTATGCCGATCTCCGAGCGTATATATATATATCTCCGCGCCGTGAGCAGAAAGAATACGTCGATATACATTCATCGAATTGAATTTTGATTCGGCTCTCTCGCCCGAGAAATGAGTTAATTACAAATGTGTAGAGAGCGTTGGGAGATAAATTCTGCGATATAAAAAGATTATCGATTACCCGTGTAGTACCCGTAATTACAATAAACGCGTCGACCGTTGGTTGGGGGGAAAAAAGAAATTATTACGTGAATATGAACTCGTCGAGTCTAGTTTTCCGTATTCTTACGATACATTATCGCCGATTAATGCAAAGCAACTTTGATACAACGAAAAAATCAATCGATCAACCAACGCACACACACACAAGTGTTCAAAAAGCTCCGAGATAAAAACAAAAATATCTACGCTTTTACTTGTTATTGAAAAAAATTGGTATCGTGTTCGAAAGGGTCAGGGGGGAGTAAAGAATTGAAGAATTTGAAAGAGAGAGAGAGTTTCATCACTAACGTGCATCGGGGCGCTCGTCGGCGGCTCCAGAGCTTTGTCCGCAGATAGTCAAAGATAGGAACGTACGGGGACCTGTGGATGCAGGGCCGGATGCACGATGGTGGCGTGCTGCAGGCCGCCCGGCAGCTCGCCCGCCGTCGAGTAAGCCAGTGGATGATGCCAGAGTTCGGGCCCGCCCGGGAAGAACGGCGAGCCTAGCGCTGCGAACAGAACAAAAAGCAAAAACACACAGAGGAAGGAGAAAATTAGTCATTATTCTTTAGGTAAATCGAGCGTATAATTTTATCCCATTTAGTTAATTGTTCAAAGTATATATGTTATTATATTGTATATAAGTCGAGAAAGAGGTAGAGAGAAGGCTGCGGAAAAAATAGATTAATATGTATGTACATCGATCATTTGTATATAAAATTTTCTCGATCTTTCATTCGTTTTCGTTGTTTTCGTTGTTTTTGCTATTGTTGTTGTTGTATATTTTCATATTAAGTTTATTCACATTGTGTCGTGTGTCAAATATGCATGTGTATAAGATGTGTGTACTCGTTTATATACATGGTTATTTACGTGCACTCTGAGCTTTCAAGCATAATACAAGCTTCATCGGGTTAATACAAATGTTTGATGTTCATCGCACAAGTACTCTGACACATTCTCGCTCTCTTTCGCCAAAAAGCCGATGAATTTGTACCTTTTCTCTTTTTTCCACATACACACACACTCGCTCACGCGTCGTACATACATACATCCCTCCGCGCGTGCAACGTCAAAAAGAAGCATCGGGCGCGTACGTATATACTACTCGGCCAATACACTTTGGTCGAGGTATAAAGACGCTCGCGCGCTTGATTCTTTGCAAAAAAAAAAACAGAGGAAGAAGAAGAGAAGCAAGAAGTAAAGTATATAGAGAAGAAAAAAAAGGGGCAAAGCAAGGCTCATCCACCCACCTAGTGGGCAAAGAAAGAGAGAAAGTAAAAAAAAAAATGAAAGAAAGAAAAAAGAAAGCCAGTCGCGCGCGGGGGTGTTTCAAAGAACCGCGCTTACGCTCGTACCCACACACTCACACACAGATACGGACACGCTATCCCCCCTGGCTTATATAGATACCGAAAGCGAGTCGATATACAGCTTTACACAACGACGTTATAAACTCGAATCTCGCGCGCGGCCGAGAGTGAGATATATACACCTGCGCCCTATATGGATTATTATTGCCAGTACATTACAAGCTCCGATCAGAGAGCAGTTGCCTATATACACTATACTCCGTGTGCTCTGCACTTTTGCTGCCCTCCCTCTCCTATATAACTTGTCTTTTCTATAATGTACATCTGCGCGCGCCCAAGAGAGAGAGAGAGAGAGAGAGTTCGAAAAGACGGAGAGAAGCTTTCCCAGTCCACCGCAGACGGACTGACGTATATTTGTGTGTATGTGTGTGTGTGTGTGCGCCGGCAGCAGACGGACGCGGCGCAAGCTCGCGTGACCAAGCGATGCATCATGCTTTATTAACGCGCGCGCAAACCGACGTATATATATGTGTACGCGAGACACAGACGTACACACGGCGAGGCATTAAATTACTCACCGAGCTAGTAGACTGTATACCTTCGGACTCGCGCTGCTTTTTCACTTCGATCGAGCAATACCGCTATAACCTCTCAGTCTCGATTCGCTTCTCTCTCTCTGTATTAAAGTATACCCCCTTTTCTTTGCACACGTGGGGCATACTTTATTTTTGCCCCTTTTTTTCTTCCTCTCTCTCTCTCTATCCGTGCTTTCCTTCTTATCGGCGAGGTAAGAATTTATGTAAACGTTTTATTATAATTTCAGAGCTTTTTCTCTCGCTCTCTTTTTATGCCTCGTCAGAGAACGAGCTGCACCTTGCGTATATATATGTACGCCGTGCAGCGATCAACTTTTTTCCCGGAGTTTTTTCCTTCCTTCCTTTCTTCTTTCCTTTCCTTGCCTTTGCCTCGCGTACGCGCTGGCCACGTTATACGTGCGTTGCGAAAGCTTTCGAGAATCGATGGCGAATTAGTTTTTATTGTTCCCTCCCGCGCGCGCGCGTGTGCAAAAGAAATACGACCCCGAGGCGCATGACATATTCATAAACAAATGCGCGCGCCCGAGTATAATACGACGCATTTCTTCTTCGGCATTCTTTTTTCTTACTTTCGTAATGCAGCCGGTATAAAGTCGCGAGCCTTTCCGAAGAAATTCGATACAAAAGACTTCTTTTGAAGCGCGTATATCTCTCTCTATCTCTTCATCGTGGCCTCGTGCATTTCTCGAAACGCTGACGCTTACGCGGCTCTGCGCAGCTTGCCCGAAGTTCTTCGACGATATGTTTTTTTATATATAGCGCGCGGCGCAAGCTTCTTCTCCCTGGTATACCGATCTGACGTTCATTGGCATCGACTATCGTCGATACGTATATCGATGTACGTACTGCAAGCTCGCTGTGCTTTTTCTCGCGTATCTGCTCTCTATTTTTATAAATGCAATCTATACGTAGCATCGTCTCGAGCTTGATGTGATTACGGACGAAAAATGAAAAGTACGCACGCACGCGAAGTAGCACATCGGAGATATATACGGATACGCGTATATCGATATAAAACGTGAAAGCTTCGCATCCGCACGAGAGCTTGCGCGCGAGTACAGCTACCCTGTGCGATGTACATTGAAAAATATGCTGCTGCTCTCCGGTGGTACGCTTAAATCCAATTTAACCCTAATACTTCGTACTTATACATGCGTGTGTGTGTTTGTACGACAAGCAAAGCTCGTTGTAATCCTATAATATAATTCGCCGCAGCCACCGGTGGCTATCGCACTCTCTCTCTGATGCGGGTAATATACGCCATCCGATATATCTATGTAGACACCTTTTTTTCTTTTTTTTTTCTCTCTCCTCTGCCTCTCGAACTTAATTACTTTCTAATAATCCAGTTTAGCCGCGTGTTTCTCGCCTCTATCCGCTCGAAGATAGATACAACGCTATATATAAATGTGTTTTATATTATGTGCCGCGCACGCGATCATAAATCGATCGAGCTCGCGAGCTTGGCATAATGTAAATCACACTCCCACCCCACCTTTTTTTGCACCGAAAAAAGTTCGGAATTTTCGCCCGAAAGTTCGTACCTCGAGCACCGCCGTCGTATACTCGATTTTCAATGTACCCGCGTATATATATAGGCGCAACTTTGCCCCCGCGCGAAAACTGGTTTGTGAACTTCTTTTTTTCCGACGCGTGAGCCATTGATAAACTTTTGCGCCGATATTACGAATCATTCACAGTCGCGCATAACGTACATTACGTTATGTATGTGTTAGGCAGTCACACACTCGAGCGGCGCGCAAAGTGTCACACGTTTTTGCGCTCGCGACAAGTAATCGCGCGTGTAATATAGCTAGTCCGTGTGTATGTAATTGTAGCTTCGAGCATTATCCTCTACGCACACACAAGCATTATATGCACTCGGGGCATTGATTTATTTAACCGCGCGGGCCCCAACGAGTCGGCACTGCCGAGAGAGAGAGAGAGGTTGAGCTCCAGTATGACTTCTTTCCGCCTTACTTATACACACGTATTTTGTGCTCACATACGTACGCGTCTATATACATTCAATAAATGATAGATCGAAATGCATATCGCTGTGGCTCGTTTAAATTTAGCTTATATATATACAGGCCATGACTCGTATCGGCGTATATTTAATTGCACTTTAGCCGATACATATATGGGATACGTATCGTACGTATCGAGCGGCCGAGCTAAATCGAATAATTGATCAATGCTCGACTGCGGATCGATCATGCTGTGTGGTACGGCCGCCACATATCGACTCTTAATCAGCGTATATACGTACAGACGTACACGTGAGTTTTCATTTATATTACATATAAATGAAGTACTAGTGGAAAAACAGCATCGGAAGTTGATTAAATCGCGTGTAAAAATCGACGCCTATTAGAATTGCTAAAGACGACTCTTCGTCGTTAAACTTGCACGAGAAGAATTCCAACGTGAAAAATGAAAACGAAGATTTTTTAAAGCAATTGAAAAACCGCACGGGGTTGTCTCCGTCTCGTTGTTTTTCAAAGAGTCCACGCAGCAATACGTTCCATGACGCTTGAAAAAAGAAACGTTTCATTTCCCACTCTTACTCTTCGGCACGTGTATCATCCATCCAGTCCTAATCGCAACAAAACAACAACAAAAAAACACGAAGATGCGCTCGTGAGAAAGTTGGCGCGCTTCAACTCTCTTTCGTACATACGCGATCCAATTAAAAAACAATTCAATTATACAGATGTACTCCTTTCACTGTTTTGAGGGTTGCGGTTGGCGCTTCTGCAGTTGCTGCTACAACTACAACTACCACTACTACTATTATTACTACTACAACCACTACTACCATTGCTAGGCTGCCTACGAGTGTGTCGGCATAATTTCAAGCGGATCTTCTTCAACTCGGGCGGTGCACGTACAGCAGTCAGGCATCCACCCGCACACACACACACACACACACACACACACACACGTACACTCGCACACGCGCGCATCGCATACACTGCAATGTGTATTCATATACAAAGTCAAGGAATGTAGAACAAAGGCGAGTTTCTGAGCGAGTTGCAGTTGTAAAAGACATAGCAGACGCAGAAAGAGCTAGGAGAAACGGCAAAAATGGAGCATACGGCAGTCGTGATGCGGAAACAAAACTCATATACTTTATACATCATGTATGTGGTAGAAGTCACAAATGTATTTATAATGTAATCAAAGAGTCAAAGGTGTGCTGACGAAAACGAGTGTCATACAGTTGATTACGTGATACGTCGTACAATGATAATGATGATAATATTTATAAAGTATAATTATGTATATTACGCGAGATATCGATAATTAGCGTGTGACATTTTGGACGTGTAATCGAGTGAATGGAGAGTAAAAATTATATAGACAATAGATGCATACAATATGTAGTAGAAAGTAAAAGTTAAGAAAGCGATAGAAAGAGAGAGAGAGAGAGAAATGGCATGGTAGTTTGTTTTTTTTTCTGTTGGTGCGCTTTAGCAAAATACTTACGTCCTGTTAGAGGGTGCATCAGAGCGGGGTGTGAGGTTGCTGCTGCAGCGGCTGGTTGCTTGGGTTTGCTAACCTTTGTGTTACTTTTTGCAAATTCCAAACGTATGGTTTGTGGCATATCAGGATCAAATCTAACCCCCTGCTGCAAAATATAATATGAAAAAAGAGAAGAAAAAACCCTACATTAGTTCAAATAATGCACCGAGCAAGAGGAGGAATTGAGGAGCGTGTGTTTCTTTTTTTTTCAATAATAATGAGGAGCGGGGTGGTGGTGGTGGTGGTGGCAGTGGTGATACAATGGTGGTGATGGTTGTGATATATATAGTGGTGGCAGCTGGGAGTGAAAAAGTTAAGTGATTGACTTGATTTTCACGTACTATATAGCGATCAGATTTTTCGTAATCAAAGGGTTGTTGACAATAATAAAAAAGAGTAAAAAAGAGAATGTATAGAGAGAGGCGCAAACAATTCGAGTGAATATAGTTAAAGAATTTCACAATAAAATACTTTTGTCTCAAATACGTGTGTAATTTTTGGTTAAATTTAATATTTACTGCTCTGCGTGAGTAGAGAATATATTTATAGGGGGTGGAGGGTCGCATGGAAAACATGTGAGTGTTCTTGTTAAATTTGTTTTTCTCTCAAAAAATCATGTTATTACTTTATGTAGCAGCAGAATGAATAAAAAAAAAATACAGGAAAAAAAAAGAAGAGAATTCGTGCGTGTTCGTTTAAAACAAAACGGTATAATTTACTCTTTCTCAAACTATCATAATGGCCGATCGAGTCCCATGTCCATTTGCTTGGCACGTTATATACTGGAGAAATTGCACTGTTATTATTGTTTATGCATACACAAATGCACTTGCTAAAGGGCAATTGTACCATAATATCGACTTTTGTGTGTGTGTATATGTGTGTTGCGTATTACAAATGACAAGCTTTTTTCAGGTCGTGAGTGTATATAATAAATATTTCAGATATATAAATGCGAGTGTGTTTTCATATATATGTGTGTGTGTCTGTGTGTGAGGGCTAAAGTCAAGATAATACTTCGACGTGCGCACTACGTTTATGTATAAATGTCGGTTAGATATTCTATGCATTATATAGAGATAGGATGGAAAATTTATGTATAGAGTATATAGCAGTGTGTGTGTGTGTGTGTGCACTCGTGACTATATATGAGCCTGCGCGCGTGTGTGTGTGTTTGTGTCTGTCTGTCTGTGTGTCAGATATATGGTGTAGCTTCGCGGAAGATGTATAGACGACGATGGTAGGGAGAGGGTTAAGTTTAAGCTCGATTCAGGCGAATATCTCGCGAGCACAGAGACACGTATATACGGTTGAGCTTTAGCGCGTAATTCTGCGAACCGAGTGCGCGAAGCCGTGTCCGACGACGACGGCGATGTGTAACGGATAAAATAAAAAGCTTAATCATTTCTTTTTTTTTTTTTGCTCTCTGTTCTTTCAATTAATTTTTTTTTTTCTTCTGTTTCGATTTTTCGCTGGATTTATAATGAAAGATTCTAGGAAAACCGTTGGCTATAGTTGTGAATTGACGCGCTGTTCGGGTTAAGCTTTTGATCATGGGAGCAATGAAACGACGGCAAAAGTTGGCGAAATGTTTCTTCGACTTAGCGAATGGCGTCACAAGTATTCACGGGATTTGATCATTTTCATCGCCAATGGGAAGAAACCGATTGAAATGTAAATGGATTTTCTTTCAGTATAATAAAAAAAAATTTGAGGAAGAAAAAAGTTAAGACGTGTATAATGTATAGTACTCGCGTCTCTCAAAAATTCTTTGCTAATAAATCCGTCGTCCCGTGGGTATTAAAAAAAAAAAAAAAAAGAATATCAAGAGGGCGTCGGGGAAAAACTTTTCTTTTTTTTCACAAAGTTTGAAAAAATGTTTGAAAGAGAAGGAAGATCTGGTGCAGTAATTAAACTAAAAAGGAAACGTTTACCTGTAAGTCCTGTTTCGCAGCCTCGGCGCCGGCCCTCGTGTGGAACGTCACGAAGCCCACCGGCTGCAAAAAGAAAACACACAAAAGAAATTCGTACGGTTTATATTTTTAATGGCTCATCCTCTTGCTTTCGCATATATATATACGCGGTATACGGTATATAAGCCTTATATTATTCACTTTAAAATCCAATATTTTCCAAAGGTCTGCCGTTGAATTTTTCATGCGACGCGCGCGCGCGCGAGCACGAATTTTTTTTTCTACCTTTCCTTTTTCATTTTATTTTTCCTCGACTCGCTCGACTGTCTCTCCGGGTAGAGAAAAAGAAGCAAAGGCGCTTCTGTTTGTTATAATAATTCATATGAAAAAAAAAGCCAGAGTCGGAAAATTTCTCTGTATATCCCCACGAACGTCGAGCTCGCGACGTAGAGCACGTAAAGTCCCTTCGTGCTCGCGCGCGTTGTACGAGACAACGAGAATAGAATCGATCGCAATTTAACCATTTGCCATAACATCTCTTTTTTAAATTCTATGAATATTTCAAATGTTTTGCCTGGAAACGGGTATCTAGACGTATAGACACACACACATACACTCATGTATAAATGCCGTATTAGTATGGGTTGGACACGCACGCGGGGGTACAAACCAAATCGATTTTTCATTCTATTATTATCAACGAGCGTGTGGTTAACGGCTTATAAACCGAGTTCCCTTTGGCTCTATGGCGGTGTAAGTATACGCGCGCGTTTGTCGCAATTTTTTCTCCCTCTCTTTGCTCTCTCTCTTTCCCTCGCAATCGCGTCGTCCTCGCCATTGCCGATGTAAATGTTGTCGTGTGTATACCTTACTCTATCGCGGCAATTTGCGAAAATTGAATGACAAAAAAGGAAAAGGGAAAATTTTTTTTTCAACGCGTAAAAGCACCACGCAAAAGCTGTGATTTGGGATTTTCGTTTGAGAGGCCGAAAAAGGAACTATTCAAGCGGTCGATTGCTCGTTTTCGAGATTTAATTGATCTGACGAATGAAATAAAAAAGGGAGAGAGAGAGAGAAATGAACGCGGCAAAACTATTATTACTCCAGATCGGCGGCGCGCGTTGAGCGAATATTACAAAAAGAAAAAAAAATGACTTACAGCAACAACAGCGATGCGAAAATAAAAAAAAAACGCGAGTTGATTTACGCTCTAGACGAGCGTGACGAAAAATTGCATTTTCGCGATTCATCTCCTCTGAGCTGCTGCCGCTGCTCCAGCTGCAGCTGCGAGTGTACACTGCGCTCCTCTATATACCTTTCGTTAACAAAGAGAGACGTGTATAATTGCTGTCTCTCTCTCTCTCTCTCTCTCTCGGAAAGTGATTCCGGAAAATCCGATCGAAACTCGCGGTCGCGCCGGGGCTGTATATATAGCTTATATATACCTGCACACACACATACACACACCGATCTTTACAAACGAGTGTATGTGTGTGTGTGTGTGTGTATACCTGCGACGTTATCGATTTTCTATACCTGTATACCCGAGCTTCGCCGCCGCCGCCACCACCACCGACGAACGAACTGCTGCACGATGCTCTACTTGACTCTGTCTCTCTTTCTGCTGCAGAGAGAGAGAGAGAGAAAGAAAGAAAAAGCGAGCGAGGGGGGAAAAAACGAGTTGAACGTTCCCATACTGTAACTGCATATATACATCTATACGTCTGTGTGTGTGTGTGTGTGTGTGTCTATACGTGGGAATGAGTACCCACTAAGCGTTTGTTTTGCTGATCTTCGACGTGAATTTTGCGCGAGGATTCGCGAATTTGCACGAAGGCTTTCTCGCACACGTTTTTAGGAAAATATAATCATTGAAAATTGCGCGCTCGAGTGGCGTGTTTACTTACCGAGGCTGTCTTTCCATTTTTGTTTGTGACTTTTAACAGCGAGCCCTCGTAGCCCTGCAAGAAGAAAAATAAAACAAGATATTAATCCATGTAATCTCGTCGTTTGACCTGGTTACGACATTTTTTTTTTTAATTTTTATTTCGTGTGGCATTGGCTAAATATGTACATAACTAAAAAATTCGTATCATTTTCGCGTACGCGCTCCGAGTTAATGATGTTTTTCCGAGTGGCGCACTAGCCGCGCGAAAAACATCCAGTCGAGATTTCGGGCGTAGATGTGCGCGTTTTCATTTTGAAACTCGTTAACTGCCACCAAGCTCCGCGTAACCACTTCGTCGAGCACATTACCATTATTTAGAGCGCCAGCTCACGCGCGCGCACGACCGGATCACCTCTCGAGTAAGTGGGAAATTTTCGAAAAAAAAGTGAATTTTTTTTTTTTTTCATTATTAACCGCGTACCGGTTATAAATTTTGGCTTGTAAATTCGTTGCCGTTTTTTTTCTGTTTCAACGAGTTCGAGCGAAGTGCCCCGTGTTTCAATTTTCTCCCGAACGAATACTTGTACACGCGTTGACGAATTTTCATTATTCATCCGTGTCGGGCGCGGATATTTTTCGTTACACAAAAACAGTGCAGAGAGAGAGAGAGAACAAATTTTTGTAGGTATACACAAAAACGTGCTAGATAGCTTATAGCATGTATACAGCCGCGACAAATTAAAAAAATCGGCATCGCAGTTACGAAAAAAACTCCTCGCGCGCGCCCATTAACCTATCCTAGTATTCCCATCAGTGCGAGTAGTCAGTCCTATCCACCCCGAAAAAAGCTCCGCACTCGTAAACATCTGCCCTCGTCTAATTGCGAGGATACGTATATATGTATGTACGTTCGCGTGCATAAAAAGGAAACAAGCCCGCGTTTATACGCGTATACATTTTTAATGGCATATATACCGAGTTACATATACCGTAACTATAGCCCTCGGCCTCGTCTCTCTCTCTCTGTGCCTGTGCGTGTGCGTTGCAAGTTATACATATATACGTAATGTCTATGAGTTTTACGTACCTCGTACGCTCTGAAGAGAAGATACAGCTCCCTCGGCTTGGCATCCATTGGCAAGCCACTGACGAATAGAGTGCGCACCTGCAACACGGAAGGAGCAGAAAATAAATTTAAGCATCGAGCATGAAGAGATCATTAAATTTTGTTTTCTTTTTCTTTCTTTTTTTTTTTCGTTAATTAAGGTAATTGCTTTTCGACTATTTTCACGGTACACACTGTGTATCGGGTAGACATGCCGAATGTATACTCTTATATTTATTTGTTACAATCAAGGGGGGAGGGTTATTCGGCAACTTGTGCGCTGGCCCCGAGTGGGGTGGTTGGATGGAATTCACTCGAGATACATCAGACGTAGAGTCGTCGTCTTTTAAATTAGCTCATTTCAACTTTTTCCATTCAATTACTTTCCAAGTAGCGGAATGTAAAAACTCGACGATCTCTATCGAGGAGCATAATTTATGAATAACGACCTGTTTTTCCAAATATAAAGTATCGCTCACGACATTAAAGATGTTATTTTCAAGCTTCGTAGATCGGCACTTGTACGATAAATCAATTACGTCCTCGATTTTTCAAGCTTCGATCGTTGATCCACTTAATTTTCTATCGTTTTCTCTGTTCTCCCTATACGTTTACCTGCGACTGCATCTATAGCTCGCTCGACTCCGCATACATATTTTCCTTCGATTCATTGCACTCGTTTACGTGCATACATTACGAAACGTTCACTCGGCTATAAAATGTATCGTACAAGTGCGATTTATACAACGTATTACGAAGTAAAGTAAGACGATCCCGTTGTTCCTGTTGAAATTTTTCGTTCGGATTCCACGATCGCGAGTCGTCCTGTGAGCTTCCTGCTTCGTACAGATTCGTATATATGTGTGCACCAATCCTCCGAGGACGATGCGTCTTTTTTTTTATCTTTTTTTTTTCAATTTTTTTTCATACGTAATATTTTTTTTTTTTTATTCAAGCCGGACGACATGGAGGGTATCGAAGCTCAGCTCCGCTTTTCGCGTATATGCGGTATATACGTACGAGCGTGTACATTTTTCAAGCCAATGGCGTGGTTTGAAACTGTAGCAACGAACCCGCAGAAGAGAGAGAGAATGAGAGAGAGAGAAGGTGGCAGGCCGCGCGCAACATATACACATAAACGAAAAAACGGAAGCACGCTCGAGGCGTCACACACCGGAAGTCGACGCGCACGCGCCTCGCTCCGTATATATACCGACCCACCTGTGCTCTCTATACACACACACATACACACGCACTTGCATGCATCGTGTGCTTAAGGTGGTACGCGAATATATATGTGTGTGTAATGCTCGTTGCGAGATTCTTCGTGTAATATACGGTCGACTTTTGAATTTTTGATCCGACGACGATGACGACGATGAGGACGATACGCGATATAATGAGGCTTTTGTGCTGCTGTATATTATATATATGCGTGTGTGTGTGTGTGTATGTGTGTCTGCATGCACGAGGAGATGTTGCGCGCTACTATACATGTTATATATCGTACACAGTACGACACGGTATGATTCGCTCGAGATTATCGTCAGCGCGGGGCCCCGCAAAGCGTGAATAAAACAAAGAAAAAGAAAGAGGGAAAAATCTGCCCCGAGAGCCTTACTGAGCTAATCGCGCTGCTACCGCTCGCGCGTCGGTATTATATCTATAATCTGCGTCTGCGTGTAAATTAAAAAAGGTAAAATAAAAAATTTGCCCATCGCCTTTTGTGGACGATAATTGCGACGATGCGCCGCGAGGCGCGGTAATGTAACACGCGCCGACAAGTGTTTCTTTCTCCTTCTGTCTTGGTGTTGTAGCTGTGTATGTGTGCGTAGCGTAGTGATTTTTTTTGCAATATCACGAGTACTCAAATCGCGTGCCCGCGTGCATCGAACGAGCGAGCCAATTGTAATCGCGGTGCGGCGGCAGCGATGATCGTTTCAGCAAAAAATTTCAAAACACACGTATAAGGAGAAAACGAAACGAAAAAAAAAAATCGCTTGGACAATCTCTTGTGCCGATGAAAAGCGTCGGCTTACATTGTACGCGTCTTTTATTACATTACAATTTTACCTATAAACACTATATACCGACTGTGCGCGAAAGTTCGTTGCCCTCCCCCACGCCATAGGCGCGATCGTCTTTCCATTTCGCCGCGAGCGATTCCTCGTATAAATAACGTTAACGAAGAAAAATATATTATTACGATATACCTAATATAATAATAAGCCTGCAGTGTAACGTCGCGCGAAACAAAAATGAATAAAGAGCCTCGTCAAACTCGCCGTTGCCCGTGATGGTGGTGGTATTGGTGCTAGTAGTATACGTACAAGTAGTAGGCGCATCTCTCTAACTTTATTATAACGCAGGAGGGAATTCCGCGTCGTCTTTGTTGACTTTTTAGCTTAGCTTGCAGGTTTGCCGCTGCCCCCGTATATATTTACTAGCGAGGGGTCGAGGTACATTATATATCTATACACGCGCCGAACGATGTCGGTCTTACGATATGTTGTGTTGGCCGACAATATAAGCTATGTAGATGTACACACGTATACACCGTGAAGCTTGATTATGAAGTACGTTGTCTTCTGTTGTACGTACTTCAAGTTTACTCTTCGTTTCTGTGTGTGTGTGTGTGTGTCTAACAACAAAACTGAAGGAGCTTGTTATAATACACTGAACCGTTCTATTGTTTAAGTATACACATGCGCGCAGCTGTGACTCTGTGTACACATCGGGGGTAATTATCGTCGCGACACCTTATCCAAAATCAAGCCTCGATACACGCTGTCTCGTGATATCATTTTTCAAACGTCGGCTAGCGCACAGAGGAAAATCCAGCGAATAAGAACAAAACAAAAATGAGAAGAAGAAATTTACGCAACGAAAGCTCGTCTCGTTGCGCAAGCTCGACACAGACCACAAAAAAAAGGAATTAGAAAATGACGATGTACACACGGCGACGAAAAAGAAAAAAGAAGAGAAGACGGAGAAGAAGTTGCGAGAAAGAGAGGGAAAAGAGCCACTTGCGCAATTATAGAGAGAGAGAGAGAGAGAGAGAGTAAGCCCCCAGCGGCTATATCTCTGTGATCATCGAACTGCAACGCGCGCGCCGGCTAAAAACTCGTCCCTTTTCTCTCTCTCGTTCTGCATCGTATATGTATATCTATAGGTGCACACATGTGTGTATTAAGCACGTGCCAAGACGGCACACACGTATTACACACACACGAGCGTGCACTACATACACATACATACGCAGAGCTCGTGCTGTACACACCATTTATAAGCGGCTACAAAGACTTGCGGATCGGCTCGTTTAATGCCACGTAAAAGCTCGCGCGCTCGATCGGTCTCGAAGCTGCTTACAGGCGTGCGGTACATTAGCTTGTCTCGCGCGCACATATACACACGCGCGAAAGCGCTCTAGACACACGACAGGTTTAATAGAAAAATCTCTCGCGAGCACACTTGTGTAATGGTATGTGTGTGTGTATATGGCAGAGCTTGCGTCTCAATTTTTGCGCGTTTTACGGCCGCCATATAACACACAGACCGCGCTATATATACGTATATATATATTAAAGCTCCGCAGGGAGCTTTGCCTTTCTCGGGTCAAGCTTTCGCCGCGCGCGTATAATTTAGCGTCGCACGCGCGTCCCTCATTAAAAGCTTCTCTATGTAGCCGTATATATACACGCGCTTTCTCTCTATGCGTCTTATATATGTTTCGCGGTGGTGGCGCGCACGAAACGGTGAAAAATTCAACGCGAGTCCCGCGCGCCAGACTCGTGAAACCGAGAGGAAAGGGAGAGAGATCGTTTCTCGAGAGGCTGCTTCCGTTGAATAAGTTATAATGCCGTTACCGAGAGCCCGCAACGCAGTACCATAGGTTCGTACACATAGCGAAGGGCACATTACCTCGACGTCTTTTCTTTCGGATGTTTACCCCTCCACGTTGTGTGTAGTCTATATACCCAGTCGGCCTCGAAGCAGGCGATAGTAAAACAAAAAATAAATAAATAAAGAGCGAGAGAGAGAGAGAGAGGAAGAGAGAAGGTGCTGTCTATTTTCTTTCGACTTTTGGTATAGATCGACGCGCGTCGTGCACGCGATCGGTTAACGCCTTTTCTTCTCGAGGCGATTGATACCAGCGATAGATTTTTTCCTCGAGAAAAAGAAAGAGGGAGAGATTACAAAATCCCTTGGTTATAGTTTCCTTTCTTTCTTTCTTTCTTTCTTTTTTTTTTTTTGTTTCGTCGAGTTTATCTTGCACAAGAGCGAGAATCGTTCGAGGAAGTCGACAATCCAAGGCCTCGCTAACGCATTTTACGCTCTTCTCTCATTTCCTTTATAGTCCTTCTCGAACACAGATATATATTTTTTTCATCGTGTAAAATATAATCCAAACCGCATGGGATGTGGTGGCTTCTCGACTGCGAGCTGCTGCTGCTGCTGCTCCATGCCCCACGTTTGAAGCCATTGCATAATGTGTGAGGCAGTGTGTGCGTGTGTGTGTGTGCCAGGCACGACGACAAGGGCGGAAAAAAGAAAGGGAGAAGGGTTGTCGCTCTTTTTTTCGCGATACACGCGTGCACGCATATAATAGATGCTAAAAAAAGAGAGAAATTAGAGAGCTCGTGAACGAGTGCACGATTGCGGGGGTGGCAGTGCCAAGTGAAGAGACTGGAGGGGGTAGGGGGAGAAAACATGCGTGTGCCTCTGTGCATATTATACACGTTTCGTCGTAGTAGAGACCGACACGAGGAAAGAAAAGAGAGAGAGAGAGAGAGAGACCCCAGCGCCTAAGCGTATAATTGTTGAACGCGCCACGTATATGTATAGTACATGCGTGTGCGCAGCGTTAATTAGCGAGTGAGAGAGAGAACACACGCGCACCTCATATATATCCACATGTACTCGGCATATACGTTTCTGTGTCTTTACGTACGTGTGTGTATTTGTACACGATGCATATTGCGGAACGATCGAGCAAATTGTGCGATAATCCATGCTCTCTTTCTTCAGGCAGTATACACACTCTTTTCTTTTTTTTCCTT